CTTATGTATATAATATTTTATTTTAGGCTGATAACAACTTTATTTTGATAGTATATATAACCTTTATACTTTTACTTCTCTCCCCCTCACATTTTAGGTTATTGATGTGGCAGTTTTTATATTTTTTACATGTATCCAGTAACAAATTATTGCAGTTATGGTTATTTTAAATACATTCACTTTCTAACTTTTAGAGTTGTAAGTGAATTACATACCACCATTACAATCATAGAGAATATGACTTTAACTACATATTTACCATTACCAGTGAGTTTTATACACACATTCATATGTTTTACAACATTAATTATCATCCTTGTATTTCCACTTGAGAATGTCCTTAGCATTTCCTATAAGGCAGGTCTAGTGAGGATGAACTCCCTCAGCTTTTGTTTGTTCAGGAAAATCTTTATCTTTCCCTCCCACTTTGCCAGCTATAGTATTCCTGATTGACAGGTCCCTTTTCTTTTAATATTTTGAATATATTATCCTGTTCTTTCCTGGCATACAAAGTAGTCCTTATTTTTGAAAAATCAGCCTAAAATCTTAGGGGTTTCCCTTGTATGTAATACACTTTACTCTTGCTGCTTTCAAATTCTGTCTTTGTCTTTGACTTTTGAAAATATGATTATAATGTGTCTCAGTGTAGCCCTTTTCAAGTTCAACCAATTTGGGGTCCTTTGGGCCTCATGAATCTGGATGTCCATTTCTCTCCCTATGTTTGGGAAGTTTTCAGCCATTATTACTCTAAATATACTTTCTGTCCTTTTCCCTATCTCTTGTCCTTCTGGGATTCCCATAACGTATATGTATATTGATTCTGTTGATAGCCTTCCGTAAGTCTTATAGGCTTTCTTCACTGTTTTTTTCTTTTTCTTTTTTCCCTTCCCTTCTCTTCACTTTTATTTCTTTCTTTCTTTTTTTTTCTTTTCTTTTCTTTCTTTCTTTCTTCTTTCTTTCTTTCTTTCTTTCTTTCTTTCTTTCTTTCTTTCTTTCTTTCTTTCTTTCTTTCTTTTCTGACTGGATAATTTTAATGACCTATCCTCTAGTTCACTAATTCTTTTTTTCTTCTTGGTTGAGTCTGCTATTAAAGCTCTCTATTGAATTCTTTAGGTCAGTCACTGTATTCTTCAGCTCTAGGAATTCTGTTTGTTTGTTTTGATTGTTTCTATTTCTTTGTTCATGCACCATTTTCTTAATTTTGTTTAGTTGTCTGTGTTCTTGTAGTTCACTAAATTTCTTTGAGAGGATTATTCTGAATTATTTGTCAGACAGTTAGTTCAGATTTCCATTTCTTTAGGGTCATTATTGGAATTTAAGTAGTTTCCTTTGATGGTGTCTTTTTTACCTGATTCCTTGCATTGGTATCTGCACATTGGAGTAAGTGGTGTCCTCTTCTAGTCTTTATAGGTTCACTTTGGCAAAAACAGTCATTCACCACTCAGCACAGCCTGGTGTTCTTCATGGGTCATCTGGTAGCATCCTTGCAGATGGGGCTTGCTCCTAGGGTCTCTATTTGGTTAAGGCCACTGCCTGAGCTCTGAGGTTAGCAGGTAGGGATTAATGTTGACTGGAAACAGTTGGAAAGTACTGCTCATTGGGTTTCTTGACTGAGTGCAGCTATAGGATAGGCTCTGTGGTTGCCTGGATTCTCTGGCTAGGCTTCCTCATCAGGTGGGACTGGGTGCTATATTTCAGCAGTTGGGCAGGCCTGCAAATTTGCTTCCCTGCCAGGGTAGGGCTATAAAACAGACTCCGTTGTTGGTATGGCCAAGCCTTCCAATTTTAATATATTATCCTAGCACTTTTTCCTAACAGAACTTGCTCTTATGGTTTTAAAATTTTTTAATTATTTGAGCAACTTAAAATTAATATTTAACATAAGTCTCATGTTAAAACAAAAGATCTTTCTCCATAGGTGAATTATTCCATTAAGGGAATAATTAATATATTTATATCTCTATCTACTTACTATGTATGTATGCTAGAATCCTGGTATAAACTGAAAATATCTGTTTATTGAATTATTTCATTCAAGGTTTTTCCTTTTTTATAGCTTGCTTTCAAAAATATAAAACCTTTAAAAATTTAATATGAATGCAAAAGTATTTGTGATAACAATTTTAATAAAAATGCATGTCCCATTCTTTCTAAAGTATATTTTACTATTTAATTAAACACAAAGACTAATTTGGAATTATTTCGCTTATAGATCAAACTAATCTTCATTTGAAAATGGCTTGTAATCTGTAAATTTTAAAAAATTATGACATGATTGTTATTCTAAATTATGTTTACAAATTTATTTTAAATTAATGATTACCGCATTGTTTACAAGTGTGATATTTAAAAGGAAAATGAGTGAAAATGCCTTCTTTTCATTGTCAGTTGTAGGCATGTACTTATTAGCCATCTCTCAGATATGCCTTTTTGTTACAGGGAATCCAGTGCCAGAAATTACATGGCACAAAGATGGACAGCTCCTCCAAGAAGATGACACCCATCACATTATGTCTGGTGGCCGTTTTCTTAAAATTACCAATGCCCAAGTGTCACATACTGGAAGATATGCATGTTTGGCTTCTAATACAGCTGGTGACAAGAGCAGAAGTTTCAGTCTTAACGTGTTGGGTAGGTACAAGCATTGCCTCAAATCTTGAAGAGTCAGACATGACTGTCTGCTGAATTACCTTCTTTTCTTTTTCTTTTTAATGTTTCTGCCATAGAATTTCATTATTTAAGGAGGACTAGTGCTTATGTACATTTGCTGTTTTTCTTTAATTAATACATTTATTTATAAATTTATTCGTTACATTTGGAATACCACCTACATTCCAGGAACTGTGTTTAGTGCTAGAGACACAACTGTGAATAAGACAGATGTTAAAAACCCAGTAGTAAAAGGCAAATGTATGCTGGTCAAAGAGAAACAGGTCAACAGTACAAGGGTTCAATCTGGTGTATTTTATCCTTTCTTTATGGAACAATTATTGGTAATTGTCCATATTATAGTCTTTGTGGACTAGGAATTATGAAATACCTGTACATTCAGTTCTTGCAGCATCAAAGTTATGCTTATGTCTCAGCTATGACATTAAAATAGATTTTTAGTTTCTGCTCATGTCTTGAAATTTAAAATGCACCATCTAAATATATTATATTTGATTACTAATATCAAAATACTTTTCTCCCTCCTTCATGGATTTCTCTGTAATCCATCTCTCAAACATTAGGTACCTTAACATTTGTGCTTACTTCACTGCTCATTTTACTCTAGATATTGTCTTCAAATAATAAGCTTAATTCCCAGAGTTTAATTATTATCTTCTATAGACTGATTTCTTTTTAAATCCATACCTGCAACCCAGATCTTTCTCCCAAGTTTGGATTTCTATATACAATTGCTCATTGGACATTTCTAGCTGGAAATCTCATGAGCACTTTAAATTCAAGATATTCAGAACTGAATGAACCATTCCCTCCAAAATGAGCAAATCTTTCCATATTTTCTATTTATAGTGTTTCACTGCAGTTTACCTACATTCCCAAGCAAGAAAGCTAGAAGTCATCTTTGACTTTGGTTTTCTTTAGCCCTCAAATTCTATCATCAAGTGCCACCAATTGACTTTCTAAATTTTTCTGTAGTCACTCCTTCCACTTTATGCCTTCCTTTAATTCAGTCCCTCATTATTTTATGTGGAACAAATGGACCTGTCTCCATTACCCTTGCCTCCAACACTGACCCCCTTGAATCTATCCTCAATATATTCCCTGTTTGCCCCTCATTTTTTATACTGTTCTGCACCCAATATGCTCCTTCTTCTTACTTCCTACTTCTCCCTTCTTTCACTCACTAACCACCACTAATCCTTTAAGGCTCACTTTGAAATCTTTTCCTTTAGGAGGCCTTCCCTGATGACAGTCCTCACACCACACACCTCAGATTGGATTGAATGCTATGCTTCCATATATCCTGCACCAGAGTTCTCATTTTTGCCCTACTATGCTGCATTATAATTCCTTTTTGTGTGTTGTCTCCTCCATTACTCCATTTTGAAGTTCTCATCCCTTTTATGTAGAATAAGAACCAATTATTTCTGGAATTGTTAGGAAATAGAATTACACAAATAAGTATAGTGAAATTTAGAAATTCACAAATAAGGAAATTTCTAAACATATTTCTTTAATCACATTTTAAATCTATTTCAGTATCTCCTACAATTGCTGGCGTTGATAGTGATGGTGGCCCTGAAGATGTCACTGTTATCCTTAACAGCCCCACATCTTTGGTCTGTGAAGCCTATTCATATCCTCCAGCCACCATCACCTGGTTTAAGGATGGAACACCTTTAGAATCCAACCAAAATATTCGTATTCTTCCAGGTAACTAGTTTACTTTAAATGCACAAAATACATTTGTGCCATCTACTATTGTAGAAAAAGAATCATTGGTTATTTTTTATAAAAGTACTTATGTTTTAGTTATGTTGTTCTACTGCCATTTTAATTTTTTAATTATTTATATATATCTTATAATCTAAAGTAAAATTACTTTTTGAAAGACCAATAAAATATCTAAATAAAAGGCAAATTAATAAATACCACAATGCTATTAATTGATAAAATACAATATGGAATACCAAAAAGAGTAGAAATTCATTTGTTGAATTGAACCATAAGGAGAATTGGTATTTAGATTGAGAGAGCTTATTTATTTCCCTTTAATACTTGGAAAAATGTATGAAAACAGAAAGAATTAAAAAGTATTATCCCTGGCTTTAAGAAATTTACAGTTTTATGTGGAAGGGAAATAGTGTGTGTAAAAGTTAATTAATAATATGAATTAGGAATAGTCATGGCATTTGGTAAATGAGATAGTGACAAATTTTATAAAAATTCAAAAGATGGAATGACCACTGTGGGCTGAAGTGGTCAGGAAATGCTTTGTTGCAGTTGAAACTTGAACCAGCCCTTAAAGAAAGGTATTGAATTTTGTTGGTTGGAAATGAGTGATTTCAGATCCATCAGGATAACTAGTGTGGGAAAGGTACAAAGTGAGAAAGGCACATAGATGTACAAAGGCCTATCTAGTTGCAAGTAATAATATGTAGACCTCCCACTTGAGTGTGTGTGTGTGTGTGTGTGTGTGAATGGCAGAGAGGGAGGTGGGTGGGAGAAAAGGTCAGGAAGGAACATTGGAATCATATTTTGAATGCCCAAACTAAAAAGTTTTGACTTTATATTTTATTCAATTGAGAACCAATGAAGATTTTTAAGGAGAAATGTACCATAATACAAACTGAGTTTTAGCGAGATCAATCTCTACTGATAGCCCAAGTAGATGAGAAGAAGAAGATGACTAAGGCAGAAGATCTATTTATGAAGAGAGTGAAATAAAGACCTGAGCCAGAGTGTGTACAGAGGTATGGGAGGGTCACGATGAACATGAAAGTCATTATCATAGAGGATCATTGAGGACTTACTGACTCCTTGCCCACCATGCAGTGCCCATCTATATTATAGTTTGTCTTGTGTCAAATGTCTATTATAGAATTGGCACATAGAAAAAGAAATATGTTAATAGTGAGAACTAAAAACCCTGGTGTTTTTTGCATACTCTGTTGCCACTGTGACTTCAGAGATTCTTTGGTGTTCCATGATTTTTCAGGAGGTAGGACTCTGCAGATCCTAAATGCACAGGAGGACAATGCTGGAAGATACTCTTGTATAGCCACTAATGAGGCGGGGGAAATGATAAAGCACTATGAAGTAAAGGTCTACAGTAAGTCCTAAAAGAACACTACATTTCATATTTTCCTCAAGTTTTCTAACTTTTTCAATCTTGTTTTTTATTATAGGTTCATAATTATTTATACTCATCATTTAAGTTCTTTTTAATTTTATTTGATTTTATTATGTTATGGTAGTCACCATACAATACATCATTTAAGTTTGTTGTTTATGCAGCTTGCTTCATTAAAATGGAAGTCATATTAAGCATTGTACCTATGTCCTCAATTGCTTAAAGATGTGAAGAGCCCATTCAATCTGCTCATTAACCTCTTATTGGACAACTTGTCAGTGGCACTTCCTTATATTTCTCTGTTTTTCCTTCTGGAAACCCCCTGGGCTGAGTTAAAATACTTCCATGCACAAAATTGTTCTTTAAGTATATATGTTCTACTGAACAGCCTAAGATGGATTCATCAGTGACTTTGAGCTGATCCACTGTACATTGACTTATAGATAAAAAGCAAAGTGAATACTACCATTAATAGGACCTACATTTCAGGATTTTTGTTTTGGTTTTGTTTTTAAAAAGGAAGAGCATCCTTCTGATTGTCTTTTGTTCTTTGAATCAGTTCCTTTAATGACTGAGAAAATGCATTTTATAGGTCATGCTTGGACTGTTTCTGGGGACCTGGAAAAATGAAAGTAGCTGTTCTGTGAAGGACAATAGCCACGCTGGCAGTATTAAAATGATGAAGGGAGAAAGCTGTTTTCCTTCACATTCTGTATCTGAGCATTACCATTTCACAAGATGCTAACTTGGGTCCATGGTGAAAGGGGAGCATAGCAAATACCTCAGTTATTTCCTTGTTTTCTTAAATAATCCTTAGTGTGATTTCCATGATATTCCCTGTATTGAAAAGAACCAGTGTTTAACTCTACAAATATTTGTTTTTTTATGCAGTTCCACCCATCATCAATAAAGGGGACCTACTGGGGCCAGGTCTTTCCCCTAAAGAAGTGAAGATCAAAGTCAACAATACTCTGACTTTGGAATGTGAAGCTTATGCCATTCCTTCTGCCTCTCTCAGCTGGTACAAGGATGGACAGGCCAGTCACACATTTTCTCCTTTGCTAATAGTTTCTGAAAAACAAACATGGTCAATTAAATTAAAAAAAGAAGAAAAGAAAAAAACACACACAAGTAACTCAGAGAATCAATGTCACCTTATAACTAGCACAAAACCATGCTCCTAGAATAGAAAACTGCAAAGAAACTTGAACCATGTTCAACAATCTTAGCATTATTCCATCACTGGAAAGTTTGAAGGATTGTTTTTGTGGACATTAGCAATCATGTATGAAAATCCAGCCACCTTCCCCCTGGGGAACAGTTTTTGCATTCTGTGGCTTTATAGAGTAAGCAAACTTTGTAGAGAAGAAGCACAAAACAGTGCTAAGCCAGATTAAAATGGTAGGTATAACATGGGTACTGAGTTTATTCAGAATCTTCTCTAAACACCTTTAATTCTTTTATAAAAGGTAACATGTTTTATATTCCAAGAGGAAGAAAAATAGCTAAATGTGGTGATTAAGTGCCCAATTCAATTAACTGGGGGCAACAAGAAACTTTAAATAAAAGGCACATCCTTCAATTATGTGATCTGAATTTCAGGCTATACATCCTTATTTCTCATCTCAACTTATTTTCTTCCATTCATGTTTTAAAGATATATGTGCTAGTGTTTTTATACCAAAATAGACTTTTTTTTTGGCTGCTGTTAACACTGTGCTTAATACAGATGTGGCATAACTAAGCTGCTATTTGTCCTGTTATACACATAATCAACCAAATGGCTAGTTAAATTCCAGCTGTAGAAGTTCAGGTCAGAGTTATGATTTAAGATGCAGAAAGATATAGCTTTATTTTTTCAGATCATAGAGATTTTGCAACACTGGCAGCTAGAAAAAAAAATCATCTCTTGTAAAGTAAGCATGTTTCATCTGGAAGCCATTGCAAAAGGAAAAATACGGAACCCCCACCATGTTCTGTTTACAGTTTCTTTTCTGACTACAAGTACACTTCACTGTACAGTATCAATTCTATATGGGTTTGCTTGGAAACAGCTAATTCCGTTCTCTTCTGAAATCTTATTATTTTTAATTTTACCTAGAAACTATTTTATTCCTCTTAGTTACTACACATGCACACACATACACACAAACACATACACACATAAAAATTGGCTAAAGACTAGAATTGTGCTAGGAATGAGACAGTTTAGTTTTTTTAAATATCATAAGGAATGGTTAAATTACAGTTTCAAATCCAGACTCTGAAATCAATCCAATTATAACGCTTTAGTTAAACTGCTAAATTTTTCAGGGTTTAGGATTGGTTCTCTAAAATGAGTACCAAAAAAAAAAAGAAAAAACAAACTAGTTTTTGTTTATTTTTCATATCCTTTCTTCTGTTATTTCATTCTTCAGATAATCAGCACTACTCCAGAGAAACAGTGTTTTTTGAGAAAATCCACTGAACATATTGGCCATCTTAGCCACAATAAGTTTTAATAGAATCTTTGAGTTTTATTTATTCATGCATGCCCTGAAGTTTTTCTTTTAGCATAGAAAATTTAAATTATATTATTTTTATATAAGTGATATAATGTTAATAGCAATTTATTAATTACCAAGTTATTTATTAAGCACATACTATTTGCTGGACACTATTTTAGGTGCAGGGGATACAGCCGTGAAGGAAACAGACAAGTATCTCTCCTTGTGTAAAATTTGGGGAGACAAAAACTAAACAAACCAGTGCAACATATAATGTGCCAGATGGGGTAAATGTTAGGGAGAAAACTCAGGAAGAGGAATAGTACGCATGGGAGTATGATCTCTTTTTTATGTAGGGAAGGCCTCACTGATAAGGTGATATTTGAGCAGAAACTCAAAGAAAATGAAGAAAGCAGACACAGAATACCTGAGGGGAAGATATTCCAAAGTAGAGAGTATAGCAAGGACAAAGGCTCTGAGGCACTTTGGCTGGTGATCCATGGAACACAGAAGTTGTGAGCAAAAGCTTAATGGGGAGGCAGATCACACTGCCTTGTAGACCAATTGGCCTTTATTCTGATAGGAAGCTACTGGAAATTTTTGAACACATGAGTGATATGATCTGACTTAGGGTTTTAAAAGGATTCTATTAGCTTCTGTATTGAGAGAAGTTAGAGAGGGTCCAGATATGAATTTATTTCAGTGGTCTGGAAAAGAGATGGTAGTTGCTTGGACAAAGGTGGTAGCAGGTTGTGAGGGAAAACTGTCAGACAAAGATGTGTCCAAGATTTTGCATGAGAGCAATAGGAGAGTGAGTTTAGATAAAAAGACAAGAGGTCTGAGGATTAAGCCCTGGGGGACTTCTACATTTAGAGGTTGTGGGGCAGAGAGTGAAGTGTCCCAAAAGATAGGGAGGAAAGTTTTTCAAAATGAAGACAGGTTAAACTGTGTTTAATGCCACTGATCAAGTAAAATAAAAACTGAGAATTGACCAGTAGATATAGCAACATGGATATCGTTGGTATCTTTGACAGTGGCATTTGGTCAAGTAGAGATGGTAAAAGTCTTATTGGAGTAGATTCAAAAAAAAAAAATGGAAGGAAACAGAAACAGCAAATGTAGCAAATATTTTAAAGCCATCAGCTATAAAGGAGAGTAGAAAAATATGGAGGTAGTCTGCATTCTAAAGAGTTTTCTTTTTAATGGGGAAAATTATAGTATGGTGTATGCAGATTGAAATCATCCAGTGGAAAGAAATCAACTGATGATGATAGGTGTAAGAGGACATAGTTGGGTGCCTGGGTGGCTCAGTCGTTAAGCGTCTGCCTTCGGCTCAGGTCATGATCTCAGGGTCCTGGGATCGAGTCCCACATCAGGCTCCCTGCTTGGCAAGAAGCCTGCTTCTCCCTCTCCCATTCCCCCTGCTTGTGTTCCTGCTCTCGCTATCTCTCTCTCTGTCAAATAAATAAATAAAATCTTAAAAAAAAAGAGGACATAGTTGCTGGAAGGATGTCCTTGAATAGACCAGAAGATGCTCAGAATGGACAGACTGGTATTAACCAGGGTGGGAGTTTTGCCAGAAGAATAAAATAAAGGGAAAGAGGGCAAGAGGAGTTGAGGGTTTATGCAAGGAGCAATTGTTATAATAGACCTTCTCTGGGTCAGGAGGAGAGTGAGTGGCAGTGAACAGATTGCAGGGTCTGTGGATTATGGGTCCTCCCATAGGACCAAAAAATTACTGGAATTAGGATGCTAGAGGAAGTGTTAGAAAGTTAGGAGGTGGTGGTCAGAGAGTGAGAACTTGAAAGTGAGATTATAAAGAGATGTGGTTCTTGGTAATTATAAAGCCTAGGATGACTGGTTGAGTGGCTGATTGAGGATTGGGGACAAAAAATTAGAGGAGAGGAGGTCAAGGAGCTGAGAGCATACAGCATTGGATGAATGTCCGTGTGGGTGTTGAAATCACCAAGAATTATGAGAGAAGTATCATTAGAAGGAATGACAGTGAGCCAGGAGCTAAAATTAAAATCTTCAAGGAATAAGAGGGAACTTAGTGTAAACAGAAATGTTTAGAAGATGAGAAATGCCCTATTAAGTGAAGGTGATATTATTAATAAAACATCATAATACAAATATCTGTAAGTTAATGTGCCATTAAGTATAGTAATACTTTAAATCAAACATTGTAATATGAATTAATATAAATATAAATATAGGTTAAAATTTTCCATTTATGAAGTAATGATGTTTCTGAATGAACAATAGTGATATTTGGATCAAATCAGACTGTTAATGCCCTCAATCTTTCATTAAGAAACTCTAGTATTTTCTACAGAATGATAGTACACTATGGGATCAGCGGAAAATAATTTTTTCCAACATGGATAAATAGTTGTACCTAAGAATGTTTTTTATGATAAAATATGCATTTATATATTTGGTATATAAATGTACCACCCAGAAGTACCTGGCACAGATGTAAAGTATATGAGCCATATTTTCAATAAATAAAAATGTGATTACTCAAAAAAGTTTAATCAAAGTAAATTAATTCAATTAATGTTGTCTTGAATATTTCAAATATAATTTTTTTATTTATTAAAAAATCCTAAAAAGTATAAACTGTATGATGTTTTAGAGGATTTATTAGTGTACTTCAAGGTAACATTATTTAATTGAATCACAGCCCCTTAAATCAGATGATCATGTCATTATTGCTGCAAGTGGACATACACTTCAAATAAAGGAGGCTCAGATATCAGATACTGGACGGTATACTTGTGTAGCATCTAATATTGCAGGTGAAGATGAGCTGGATTTTGATGTGAATATACAAGGTAAAATAATATGCTTATTGTGTGTAATTCAGCTTATATGATCTATCAAAACAATAAAAAAGAGATTTGAGTTGGTTTATTTTAAATACCTTTTTTTCTGTTGACAATAATAAAAATTCATTATTGAAAACTTGGGTTTAAGAAATTCACAAGGAAGAAAATAATCCATCAATCAGGGTTACTTCTGCTATTTTTGTTTCCTTCTGATATATTTTTGTAAAGTATACTTCATTTACAAGTTGGGATCACATGATAGATTTTTCTATTACATTAGCTTTCCCCTAACATTTTATCTTGAAGATTCTTTTGATATTATTTACCTGGAAGGTAAAAAGTATAGTAATGTACAGAATTTAAAGTGGTCAGACTTGAAACTAAATGATGATTTAGCTCCTACAAACTTTTTGAGTTGGGCAAGTTACCTAAATATTTTAACCCTTGGTTTTCTTGCTTTTAAAATTAATGCCTTGTAAAATTGTGGTAAGTACTAAATAACATAAAGTATGTAAAACTCTTAGCAAACTGTTTAAGAAGTAGTACCTGGTATTAATGTTGTTGATACTGCTGCTTTCGTGCTTTTATATATGCTTTTTAAAACATGCTTTTTAATAACTGTATTTTTTTTTATCAATTGAGTATTAAAACATATATTTAACTAGACTCCTATTGTTGAACGTCTAGGTTGTTTCCAAGTACTCATTGCTCGTGTAATGCTTCATTGAACATCTTTATATGTAAAATTTTTGCACATCTGTGGTTTTTCATAAGTTGCTAATAGTGGAAATTTTAGGTCAAGTGTTATGCACTTTTTTAATGTTTTTAATGTGCAGGAAAATTGTCTTCTTGGAAGTTCATGCTTGTCCCTCAGAAATGTTTGAGAATGTCCTATTGTTTTTGTAAATGGAGTTATTAATCCTGATTGCATAACTTCTTTAGCCTTCTTAGAGGCTCAAGACAAGTCATTGGCAGATGCTCTCTGTTGAGCCCGAATTTTTGAAAGGTTCCTCAAAATTTAGTTTTTCCTGCTATGATCATATTTCTTAGCCACGCATATTAGAGTAGGTTCATCTCTGATAATAGACCCCTTCATCTTCTAAGTGCTAGAGACCTTTAACAGGGAGAGCAAAGCATGAACATGGCATTTTGAGCCCCATATTTCTTGTTCTTCTACATGAAAACCAATGCTGACTTCTGTCTACTACATTGTTTGGCTCAGGGCTAGAGTTAGTAGGTATATAAGTACTTGAAAATATTTTCACAGTGTCTAATTTATTACATTTACTAATCATTCTGTGAAAATACAGCCAAGACCTTTGTTTAATTAATCCTAGCATTTACATGTGTCTGAAACGTCATGTCTTTCCTCCATAGTTCCTCCAAGTTTTCAGAAACTCTGGGAAATGGGAAACATGCTGGATTCTGGCAGGAGTGGTGAAGCTAAGGATGTGATCATCAACAATCCCATTTCTCTTTACTGTGAAACAAATGCTGCACCTCCTCCTACCCTGACATGGTACAAAGATGGCCATCCTCTGACCTCCAGTGATAGGGTGTTGATTCTACCAGGTAAAGATCGCTATGAACAGCGTGAAAACCGGAGTCTCTGCCAAATGTGTTTCTCCCCATTTATTAGACCAGTTGAATTGATCAGCTTTCTGGCCATGTAATTTAACTGACACAGGCTGCCAAATGCCACTGGTATCTGTGTAGCTTCGAGCCAGAAGAGTCTAGGCTGAGAATTTGACAATAGGCTGGAATACCTTAGGTAATTTTCAGTTCTACTACAGGATCATTCTATCAGCTTAAGAAGTCCTTTGGTTGGGTGCCTGGGTGGCTCAGTCGGTTAAGCGTCTGCCTTCAGCTCAGCTCATGATCCCAGAGTCCCAGGATTGAGTCCCGCATTGGGCTCCCTGCTCAGCGGGGAGTCTGCTTCTTACCTCTGACCCTCTCCCCTCTCATGCTCTCTCTCAAATAAATAAATAAAATCTTAAAAAAAAAAAAAGAAATCCTTTGGCTTCCATGAGGCTCCATTTCTCTAATAGTGTGATGAGATCATCAGTTTGGTTTCTACACATTATTAATGATAGATTCTAAAATATATTTGCAAATAGTTACTATTCACTTTATTAAATACATTTATCATAAATCAATAGTTATGATTATTAGTTTCAAATATTTTAGTTGTCACATGGTTTATTGGTAGAGAAGGAGATGTTTAAATTATTGTGGAATCATAATCTTTTCAAGGCTTCTACTTAATTTGAACAAATATAAAATGGGCTTGTTAAAATTTACCAAGTTGTACACCTAAGGTCAGCATATTTCATGGTGTATAAATTTGATTTCAATTAAATACAAGATATCTTGTGAATGGATAAAGAAGATGTGGTATATATATACAATGGAATATTATGCAGCCATCAAAAGGAATGAGATCTTGCCATTTGCAACGACGTGGATGGAACTGGAGGGTATTATGTTGAGCGAAATAAGTCAAACAGAGAAAGACATGTATCGTATGATCTCACTGATATGAGGAATTCTTAATTGCAGGAAACAAACTGAGTGTTGTTGGAGTGGGGGGTGGGGTGGGAGGGATGGGGTGACTGGGTGATAAGACACTGGGGAGGGTACATGCTCTGGTAAGTGCTGTGAATTGTGCAAGACTGTTGAATCTCAGATCTGTACCTCTGAAACAAATAATGCAATATATGTTAAGAAAAAAAAAAGAAGAAGAAGGTAGCGGGAGGGGAAGAATGAAGCAGGGGAAATCGGAGGGGTAGACGAACCATGAGAGACGATGGACTCTGAAAAACAAACAGGGTTCTAGAGGGGAGGGGGGTGGGAGGATGGGTTAGCCTGGTGGTGGGTATTGAGGAGGGCACATTCTGCATGGAGCACTGGGTGTTATGCACAAACAATGAATCATGGAACACTTCATCTAAAACTAATGATGTAATGTATGGGGATTAACATAAGAATAAAAATAAATAGGATGTGAGGGCGATCTGGCTGCGACATCTGTCACCCCATTGATCGCCAGGGTTGATTCGGCTGATCTGGCTGGCTAGGCGGGTGTCCCCTTCCTCCCTCACCGCTCCATGTGCGTCCCTCCCGAAGCTGTGCGCTTGGTCGAAAAGGACGACCTTCCCCGATAGAGGAGGACCGTTCTTCGGTCAAGGGTATACGAGTAGCTGCGCTCCCCTGCTAGAACCTCCAAACAAGCTCTCTCAAGAATAAAAATAAATAAATAAATAAATAAATAAATAAAAATAAATAAATAAATACAAGATATCTTGAAAAAAATTTTTTTTAAAGTAACCAAATACAAATGACAACTAAATGTTGTGATATGTGATCCAAAATTGGATCTAGGCTTGGGGGAAAATATTTATAAAAGATTGTAACAATAATGAAATTCGAATATGGACTATGAATTCATTAGTAATTTTGTGTTGATTTTAAATTTCCTGATTTTGATCACTGTACTATAGTTATGTAAGGGATTATTTTTGTCCTTATGAAATTACAGATTTATGAATATTTAGGAGTAAAGGGGCACTGTGTTTCCAACTTACTCTCAAATAGTTCAGAAAAAGATTTCATATATAAATAAATAAATATGTAAATTTATATATGAGATAAAACAAGTGAATATATATATAAGAGATAAAACAAGTGGAGTGAAATATAAACAATTGGTAAACATAGGTGAAAATTTTTATACAGTTATTGAAACTCTGAGTTTGAAATTATATCAACGTGAAAAGTTTTAAAAATATTCAGTTATTCTTTTAAAATTGTATGTATAATAATATACTTTATACCTTTTGCATCCCTGGCTATTGCTTTCTCAAACCTATACGTGCATCAAACATTGTAAGCTTCTTTTACATGTATTCAAAACTGTAAAATCAAGAAGTCACTGCATAATAACATTTCCCCATGGAATATGATGAGGGGCATGGAGCAACCTTACCCTCTTGTGAAAAATCTACATGAGCTACTTATCTCTCAGGAGATCTGATTCACATATTGGATTATTTTTCAATAATGCAGTGTTTGTTATACAAATGGTATGTGGGATTAAAACTGAACCATTAGATGAAATAAGAACCCTGAAAGCAAATGTAAGGAAGTCATTAGACCTGAAAAATTCATCTCTGTTTATGACCAGTAGGATTTAGAGAAGTGAACATATGGGGCTATGTTTTCAGGAGGGCGAGTGTTGCAGATTCCCCGGGCCAAAGTAGAAGATGCGGGGAGATACACGTGTGTGGCTGTGAATGAAGCAGGAGAAGATGCTCTTCAGTATGACCTTCGTGTACTCTGTGAGTTCTTCATTTGTTTGTCATGCATTCTTTCATTCAAAGAAATTTTTTTGAGGAACTAATGTTTGCAAGATGTTGCATTAAGCACTTTAAAGCTATAAGGATAATCAGAAAGTGATAGTTCCACTGAGGAATTAATCATCTTATGCAAATTGAGAGCTCATGAGTTAGGTCTCTTGAAATATCAGATAACAAACTGGCTTAAACTAAAAAAAAAGAGAATCCATTGACTCATGAACCCGAAGAGTCCCACGGTAGAGCTGGCTATAGTCATACTGGACTTCTGTGGCTCAAAGAGGCCAAGCAGACTTAACCTTCCTCTTTCTCTTGGTTTTTTCTCTATTATTAGCAACACTCTCAGGTGGGGGATCCCCTTGAATGACAAGTTGGACCCCAGCGGCTCTAGTCTTACATCCTTATAATTTCATATCCAAATGAAAGCTTTTCTTAGTGTTTACAATTGAAGTCCTAGAATTGGATTTTCATGGCTTTAATTGGCCAAGCATGAACCACAGTTCTATCCCTGAACCAATTATAGAAGCTAAGTGGCCTGTTTAAGGCCTAATTTCTGTGCCTACACTTAGACCACATTGTTCTCCACCTGAATGCATGGACTGAGAGTGGAAGAAGTATTGTACCTTGAAGGGCAAAGAGAGGTGATGTTGCTGGAAGTTGAAACAAATAGTTGCCTCCATTAGAAGAGATTGATCTAGAGAAGTAGCAGTGGGAATGTATAGGAAGCAGTCAGCATGAAAGAGTTTCCAGAGGAAGTTATGAAGTAATATGAAATATTAGGCACTTGTCTCAGAGCATGAGATGACACTGAGATTTTTATTCTGAGTGATTAAGAAAATAGTGGCAAGAATAATAAAAATAGAAGACCTAGGAAAACATTATTTGGGAAAAAAGAAGTCAGTTTTGTTCCGGACATGTTGAATTTGGCATGTTACAAGATACTTAGGTATAATATTGGAGGGACCATTGAAAATCAGGAACTTCAACACAGGAGAGAGGCTGAACTAAGAATGTAGATTTGAGAGTTATCCACAAATAGGTGATATTCAAGGGCATGAGATTTCCAACAGCAAGGATTATAAAGTAGAACAAAAGTTCATGGTGGGATTGTTAATAAATAGGAGAAAGGAAAAGGAAAACAGAGTTAGAAGAGAAACAATCTGAGAAGTTCATGAAAAGCAGTAAACTACATACTATTCTTTGTCACAGAATCCAAAGCACAGAAAAGGCTATCAGGAAGTGGATCTAAAGACTGATGAGTCACAGACCTGTACCTCTGAAACAAATAATACATTATATGTTAAAAAAAAAAAAAGCGAGGGAAAAATGAAGGGGGGGAAATCGGAGGGGGAGACGAACCATGAGAGACTATGGACTCTGAGAAACAAATTGAGGGTTTTAGAGGGGAGGGGGTGGGGGGATAGATTAGCCCGGTGATGGGTATTAAGGAGGGCACATATTGAATGGAGCACTGGGTGTTATATACAAACAATGAATCATGGAACACTACATCAAAAACTAATGATGTAATGTATGGTGATTAACATAACATAATAAAATTTAAAAAAATAAAAAGAAAAGAAAATTTGAAGGAGAAGCAATAAAATATTAGCATTTCTTTAAAAAAAAAAAAAGAAGTGGATCTAGTTTTGGATGCTAAAGCAAATTTAAGAAAATAAAAACTGAAAAAGTCCGTTGGCTTTAAACTGAGAAATCATTGATGAAATTCAAAAGATCAATTTAGATACTGTGGTGTGGTACAAAGCCACAGGACAAAAGGATAAATCTGGAGCAACTAATCAGGAAGAAAAGGAAACCCTTAAGACATTTTGCAGAGGACAGAAGAGATGGAGTAGAGTTTTAGGATAGACAGCTTGAGGAAACATATTTAAGAAAGATTTGAGCTTGCTTACAGATCAAAGGAAATGATCCAACAGAAGGGGACAAATTAAATTTTCAAGTTGGGGAAGGAACAGGGGAGGTGCAGGAGTTCATGGATTAAGGTCCTAGAACAGGTGAAAAATGCAATCAAGGAACTAAGAAGGGTAATTAGCCTTTCGTGGTAATGAATTGCCATTCATCAAAATGGTTAGGAGGGAAATATGGAAATGTATATCAAATGTATCTAGTCCTTTTCATTAAGTATAAGAGCAAGACAAACAGTGATAGGGGTGGTTGGGCCTGTGGAAAACAGAAAAGTTTAGTGATTACCACCATGGAGGATGTGATAAACAGTCAGCTGTTGAAGTTGGAGCCATTTGGCTCAGTTACTCCTTTCTGAAGCCACCCTTCCTTCTACAGCATTCCCAGTAACCAGGAGGCAGAGGTAGAAAAAATAGTGTGCTCTGTCTGGGTGGGGTGGGGGTTGTGCCACAAGGTAATCAGGCATATATTGTGGAAGCGCTGGAGGGTGAAAGACCATAGAATGTGCAGCAAGAAAGAGCATCACCAAAATGACCCCTGTGAGGTTTGGGCAGGGCAAGAGGAAAAATGATGAAAGAGGCTGATGGGCTGATTATAAGTGGGGAAGGAGTAGAAAGGGCTAGAGTTTTCAGTGCAGACAAAGAGCAGCTTATGAAGGAAACCTGAAAAGAGGTTGAAGAAAGAAAACACTAGAGTTCAAAAATCATATATTTGACAAATAATCTATTGATTACTAAAGTATATGCCAGGAACTTGTGCTAGGCACTGAGGATACAGCAGTGAATACAGTGTAGACATCAGTCCTTCTTCAGGGAGCTTATAACTTGCAGAAGAAAGAGATGTTAATGTTGAATGGTTGAATGGTCCAATGGTCCAAGGTCCCTGTCTAGGGCTGACTGACATGGAGTAGAGATGAAACTAATTAGAGTGGGATGGATCATCAACATAGATTTTAAAGTCTATAAGATAGTGATAAGGAAAAGAAAAAGGGAAGAGAAGATGATTAATTAAAATCAGTGCTAACATCACCAAGAACATCCTAGACCATATGACTTAATTTGACTTAAGTTTAGAAAGAGTTTAGTTTAGGACAGAGTAGAAGGATCTGATAAAGAAGCAAGATAATATGGTTTGGGAAGGACTGGGAGTCAATTAAATTGAAATGGGACTTAGGGATTGGGTAGTTAAAGGTAGATTTCATCCCTTCAGGCTATGTTAATTAAGAGGAAGTTGGAAAGCATGTTGGAGATGAGTTTAAAGAGGTGGAACAAAACAAGAAAAATGCACTGGACCCAGAAATCTGTCTACATTAGGGATGTTTCACAGTGTTTGATGCTCACCTCCTATGTGCCACTCCACGGTTCTGTACTGAGAACAATTCTGAGTGGTGTAAGCCAGCTGATGGGGCATGGCAGCTGGAGGGCAGGTCAGACCAAAGAGCTTTGGTAGAGGTCTGTACAGGTCAGACCCTGGACCTGTAGACCACCTCCTGGTCCCTCCTAATGGTTCAGCTCCAGGCAGAAGTTGAGGAAAACATCGAATCTTTATGTCCAAACATTTCATCTTTGATTAGTTTTCATGATATTGAGGTTAGTGATAGGCTCATTTAGTCTGAAGTTCAAGTTTATTATTTACTAATCTGCAGGTCAAGTTATATTTTGTGTTACCTAGAGTATAGTAAAAAATCATATAACTTTGTGAAAATTTGCATCCAAAATAACATTGAAATTCTATTATGTACCTTGTAGCCTTGATTATTTTCTTTACAGACTTCCAGTTTAGTTTTTGAAAGACCCAAATACCACAAGACTGCATCTACATTAAATATATAATCTTTGCTGATTGCTAAAGATATGGTACATTTTAAGAGAGTGAAACAGAATAGCTAAGCTTTCCAAATAAAATAAAATGAATATTCACTTTGAAAATGAATTTCTACATTTATAACAGCAGCCAACACATATGTTTCTAGTTTATATAACATTTCCATTTTTAAAAATTTTATGGGTAACGTGATTTTTCCTAACTGACTAGTCTAACAGAAGATAGATATGTACCTGGATTCTATGGTATCATTTTAAATGAAAGTGAACATATGTAGGAAAATCTAGAATGTGACTCCTCAGACTTTAGTGTACATAAGGATCACTTGTTAAAACACAAATTTCTTGGGCCCTCTAGAGATGCCCAATGAGGAGATCCGAGTGGGACCCAAAATTTGCATCTCTAACCAAGCTCCCAGGTGATGCTGATACCACTGATACTGGGGCTGGGGAAACACATTTAAGTAGCGCAGACAATTCCCTTGCAAATGAGACCAAATCTGTACATTCCAAATATACTTTAAAGATGTAATTTATCCGGCTTCTCTAGATGACTGAATAGACTTAAATATTCATGCATGCAGATGCTACTTACATGTATGGTTGAAAACCCAGAAGGCATAGTTCAAACCATGAGAGAGAAACAAGGTCAGATAAATTGGGGAAGGTTTGAGATTGTGGAAGGGGTGAGTCCAGGGAAGGGAAACCCAAGTTCACACAATTTTTATCACCACCCTAATTTATTAGTGTAAAATGTTATTCAACAATCTTGGTTTCTTCTTCAACTTTGCGCTTCTATTATTATCCCATGCTTTTTAAAGCTGTCAGAAAACTAGAATAACTGAAAAAGACCTTATTTCCTGTCATTATCTCTTTGTTGCAATCATCTATTAGTGCCTCCAGTTATTAAGGGAGCAAATAGTGATCTCCCTGAAGAGGTCACCGTGCTGGTGAATAAGAGCACACTGATGGAGTGTTTATCCAGTGGCAGCCCAGCACCAAGGAATTCCTGGCAAAAGGATGGGCAGCCTTTGCTAGAAGATGGACATCATAAGTTTCTATCTAATGGAAGAATTCTGCAGGTAAAAGTAAAAAATCTTATTTTCAAATAGCTATTTGACTTTGTATTTCCTAAGTCTTTTTTACTTTTAAAAGTAATTTTTATTGGTTTATAAATATTATATTTGTAAAAATAACTAACCATAAGAAGAATAGAAAATAAAATTCTTTATTCTATACCCCCTACCAGAGGTGACCACTGGGTTTTTTTTTTTTAAGTTTTTATTTAAGTTTTTTTTTTTAAGTTTTTATTTAAATTCCGGTTGGTTAACAGACAGTGTTATATTAGTTTTGGGCATACAATATAGTGATTCAACACTTCCATACATCATCACCCAGTGCCCATCTCAAGTGCACGCATCCCCATCATCTGTTTCATCCATCCCCCTACCACCCTTCCTTCTGGTGACCATCAGTTCGTTCTCTATAGTTAGTTCAGAGTCTGTTTCTTGGTTTGCCTGTCTTTTTTTCCCCTGTGATCATTTGTTTTGTTTCTTAAATTCCACATATGAGTGAAATCATATGGTATTTGTCTTTCAGAGGTGACCACTACTAGCACTTTTGTGTGAATTCTTACAAAAATTGTACATTCAACACATGCATACTCCTAAATTTGCTACAAGGTGGTCTGTGTGATAAAAGCCGCATTATAATTAGTATAATCCTTGCCACTGCATATTTCTGATGGTAAACTCCTAGGTGGTATTAGGTTCCCTGTAGATTAAAATGTCCCCTGTTTTAGTAAAGAATTGATAATAAATAATGGAAACCACATAAATATCCCAAATTGTTGTTCACTAATGGCCATGTCTATATTTTTCTTTTCAGATGTCTTAAAAGAAGGTTATGTATTTAAAGAAATAACACCAACTCTTTTGTTAGGATACAACTTAATAATTTATTTTGACCACATAAATGATATTCTATGGGCCCAAGAATCTAAGCATAACTATCAATGTATCCAACACAGGACATATCTTATGGAGTTCTTGTCTTTAAACACACACACACACACACACACACAAGAGCCAGATCCAGTGCCTGTAAATGCCCTTGAATTCTCAAAGTATCTTCTAAACATTGTGACTGTATCTATTTGATGTCCTACAACCTCTATCAAAATATTTAAATGTTTCTCTGTCTCAGGCCAAAAGATATATAGATGGATAGAAATTTCATTATTATGAAATGAAATTATGTTATTATGCCTAATAACATAAATATAAATGGTATTATTAGCTAATTATTGCTGCATAAAATAAAGTACTCTAAAACAATAAGCATTTATTTAGTTCATAAGCCTTCTAGCTGGTTGGGTGATTCTTCCAGTCTCAAGTGTCTGGATGCTGTGAATTGAGTAAGTTGTCTGCTGGTCTTGGCTGGGCTCTTAGCATAAATCCAGGGCCTCAGTTGTAATAACTGATTCTGACCCCCTGTGGTTCTCTTACCCTCCAGCAGGCTAGGCCTGGCTTTCTCACATGGTGGTAGCCTAGTTCTGAAAGAGTGAGGAAAGGCACTGGATCTCTTTAGGCCTAGGTTTGAAATGGCACATTGTCACTTTTCATCACACTGTGTTGGTCAAAGCCATTCACAAGGCCAACATAAATTCTGCATCTTACTCCACCTCTTAATGACAGGAACTTCAAAGTTACATTGTCAGGGGTGTGATAGGGAAGAGGAAGAATAATTGGGGGAATTTTTGTAGTCAGCATATAACAAGTATATTTAAAATTGTCTTTTCTGATTGGAAGTCTTTATAAATAAATATTTGATTAACACGACTAAAAAAAGCTAGCATCAGCACTATTATATACAAAAATTTATTTGTCTTGTGTTCATCTGGTATTAACCAGAAAGAATATGTGTTGTTTATTCTGAAATACAATGATCATTATAAAAAGTTGCTTTCTTAAAAATTTCAGTTGGAATTTCTTCTTTTTTTCCCCTTAGATTCTAAACACTCAAATAACAGATATTGGCAGATATGTGTGTATTGCTGAGAACACAGCTGGAAGTGCCAAAAAATATTTTAACCTCAACGTTCATGGTAAGAGCTCAGTTCCAATAACATTTCTTAGAGTATGCTTGAAAAAGCAGGAAAACTGTGTTTTAGATTATAGTAGACTTATTTTGTACTTTTAACTTGAACAATGTGTGGAGACTGCATTTTTTTCAATCTCTGTCTTTCTTCCCATCACATAGTAGGATTATAAAGTACAAATCTTCTAGGAAGCCTGTTTTTATATTATTTCAGTTCCTCAGGAGAAAGTACTTACTGCTACATATTTGAAAGTGAAAAAAAATCAAAATTTTAAATCCCCAAAATTATGTTTATATACAGTTAGAACCAAATATAGCTCTTTTACTCGTAAAAATTTACCCAGTAATCCTGATTGGAACCAGTTTCTGTTCTCAGAGGTAGAATTCATGTTGAGTTACATCCTCCAGTACCATTAGGTATACTCCCTGGAGAAGAAAAAGTCATTTTTGGAGTTTAATAATTCCTAAAAACCATCACTACACCTAATTCATTCTTCAAACTAAGTTCTTGATATATGCTAGACACTGCATGAATACTAATTTTTTGCTAAAATGCTGTTGAGATACTATTTAGGCAAGTGTAGGGGAGAAAAAAAGCCATTGGATGTCTACCACAAATGATGAGTTTTAGTTTTGTGACATACATCTGTTTTGAGAATATTAAATTGGAAATGGTGAACAATCATTATAAAAGATTTCCTTTACATGTGGGATACACATACAAAATTCTAGCTCATTTTGGAAATAGCTGAAATTTGACATTTCATGAAAAATTTCTCCCTTCAAGACTTTTATTTAGCATCATGAATATCCTTTTTTGGTGTGATATGTAAGGAGTATTGGTGTCCAGCAATGTTTGGTGTTTGTGGAACAGACATTTGAAACGTTTTTATCTTTGTATTCCTAGTGCTTAGCACAATGAGTAACATGTGATAGTAAAAGAGATTTTGCCTTTTATGTGTTGCTTTTGTTTTTGATGTTGTTTTAGGACCTCAGTCTTAATATAATCAAGTGTTATATTAATTGCATTCCTTAGTTCATGTCTCACTATCATCATTGGCCTGAACAAGACCCATCTTTACTTTTATTTATTAAAATATTCATTCATGTATTCATTCATTTTTATGCCCATTTCTTGCTCCCATTTCCCCTCTCCTTTCATAGGAAACCATTCAAATGGTACATCTTCAAGTTTTTTTTAACGAGTAAGTCTGACCAAAACAGAAACAGTGTTTTATGAATTCTCAGGAAGAAATAAACGAGTATGATGATTGTGAGAGCACACATTCTAATCTGTAAAGTACAGTAGAATAAATGTTGAAAATAAAAGTGTTGATTATTTTTTCTGATTCCCAAGGCAGACTTAATTTTTTCTGCTTTATGTGATCAAAAGCCCCAATTATAGCAAGTACGTAAGTTGCCTTGTATTAGTTATCTTTATATGTCTCTATCTTCACCCCCATCCTATAAATTTATTATAGATGTTGTAGGGAAGCAGTCATTTCTTATAGATCTTGGTCTCCCTGGACCCATCTATAGTCATGGTAGTCGCTAAATAAATATTTGGTGTTTTTTCATCAGTTGCTTCTTCCTAATGCACAGCAAAAATACCTCTACCTCTCAAGGTAGAAGCAGCAACCACTAGAGTTTACCCTTAAGGACTGAAGTTCAGAAGGGTGTTTCCTCATTCACAGGTTAATGATACCTTGAACTCCCAATTGTGGTCAGGAACCCATACTAACATATTAGAAAATTCATTTTGAGGAGAAATAATTTAAATTGTTTTCACTTAAAACCATACTGTTTGTTATCTCCCACTACAACAGTGCCTGCTTCTTTTGGACTTTGACCTTCAGTCTGCTGGCCCATGGGTTTTCAGCTCTCTTGTCTTCACTCTCCTTCACATCCAGCTTAACTTCTTGTGGAACAACATTTCCATCACCTCTCTTAGTCTTCTTATTGCTCTTGCTCAGTAAAAGCTCAACTCTGCGTCTAACAACACAACATATTGTCCACTTGATACCCTAACCCTAGTAGGTATCAAGTTTTTACATATGCAATTTCACTTAATTATCTCAATAACCCCAGGTCTTGGTACCACTTGATACCTCTTTTACAGATGAAAAGGCTGAGGCCTAGTGAGATTAAGTTGCATGCCCAAAGTTACAGATCTCGTAAATACATATCAGGACTATAACTTAGGTAGTCTGATTCTAGAGGTTTTAAACTTAGCTGTTTTGCTCTATTGCTTCTCACTAAATTCCATTTCTGACCATACCTGCACCTAGGTGGCTAACCATGGCTGGGGGAACTCATGGAGTCAGGAATATCAGTATCATTATAAATTCATAGGTACCATCTTGAACTGGGCCCTCCATTCTGCCTGGGGTTCCTCCTCTTGTCTCTGTTCCCTAGAGACTCTCTCACACCTTCATCCCTCTCCTCAGATGTCAGATGACCCTTGGCTTAGTAGGCTCAGGCTGCCATAACAAAATGCCAGAGGGTGCATGACTTAAGCAACAGAAATGTATTTTTTCACTGTCTGGAGGCTGGAAAGTCCAAAATCAAGGTTCCAGCAGGGTCTGGTTTCTGGTGAAGGCTCCTGCTGGCTTGTATTCCAGCTACTTTGTGCTCATAAGGCCTTTTCACTGAGCACACATGGCCAGAAAAACAAGGATGCTCTCTTGTTTCTCTTCTTACAAGGACAATGATCCTATAAGATCAGGGCCCTACCCTTACAACCTCATTGAGCCTTAATTACTTCCTTAAGAGTGCCATCTCCAAATATAGCCACAGTGGGGGTCAGGGCTTGGGTATACAAATTGGGGAGGGAGAGAAGGAGGGATATTCAGTCCATAACAGCCCTCTCTCACTTTCACTTCCTTCCTATTGTTACAACAGAAGATGGAAGCATTCTTCTACCTTCCAAAGGCCAATAATTTGACTCTAGATCCCTGCTCACTGCCTCCTCAAAAATCTCTTACAATCTCTTCTCTTCCTTTTATATATTTAATATCTGATTTCCTCACTCCCACTCACTCCTTCTGCCACTGTGTTCCAAATTTCACCTCTACAACACCAATGAAACTACTCACTGAATTCACCAAATGGCATCCTTATGAAGTCCAAGAGGCACTTTCTAGACTTTATCTTTCTTGCTTCTGTGCATTTGACATCTTGGCCATGATAATTTTTAAAAATTCTCTTCCTTTGGCTTTTGTGACACCCACACCCCTTATTTATATCTTGCCTTCCCAGTCTCTCACTTCCAGTTGACTTTGCTGGTTCCTCCTTCTCTACTTGACTATTACATTTTAGTTTTTCAAGCTCTAGACTTTGTTCTGTTCCCATGCACATCTTAGGTGATCTTATGCATTTCCAAATTTCAGATACTATCTATGTACAAATAGTTTCCAAGTTTTTATTTTTAGCCAGGGCCCCCCGTCAAGAACTCCAGGCCCTTCTATCCAAGTATCTACTTCTTGCTGACACAAATGTCTAGCAGTCACTCTATGACAATGTGTATATAACTGAGTTCATTATCTTTTCCCAAAAATGTCTTCCTCCTTCAGTGATCTCTGTCTCAGTAAAAGGAATCACCATCTACCTGTTGTTCAAGTCAGAAAAAATGGATGTCATCCCTGACTCCTTCTCCTCCTCCTTAAGTTTTTACTCCCAAAACATCAAGTCCTAAAGATTCTATCTACAAAATGTCCTGGGATCCATTCACTTGATCCTTTTTGACACCATCCCAGGCAGAGTTACCATAATCTGTTATACAGATTACAGCAGTGTCTCACTGGACTTTCTGAATCCCTTCTAACCTTCTAATTATAGTTCTCTCCACTGTAGCCAGATTGAGATCTCGGAAATTAATTTTTGATTAAACCACTCTTCAGCTGAGGCCATATTTCAGCATTCTTAATGTATGGGTCCCAGAGACCTTATAAGATCTTACCTTTGCTGGTCCTTTAATTCTCTGTCCATCTCTCCTAACCTTGTTCTTCAAATTCTGGTCATGCCAGCCTTCTAGCTGCTGTGTTCTTTCTCCATTTGGGACTTTGTATATGTTATGCCTTCTTTCTGGAAGGACACCCATTTTCTGTCTTCCCCTTAACTTATTCCTGCTCATATTTCAGTATCTTCTTCAACGTCACTTCCTCCTTCTGATCCCCAGTTAGGCTGGTTCCCTGTTGATTAATTACGAGGCAGTATAGAACAGTAACTAAGAATAAGGGCTCTAGAGCCAGACAACAGTTTTGGGGTCTCTTCTTTCAGTAACTACTTGTGAAACCTTAGGCAAGATGCCAACTTTTCTGTGTCTCAGCTTCCTCATCTATAATATGAGAATAAGAACTGTATTTAACACATGAGGTTGTACGGGGATTCAATAGTATATGTGAAGTGTATGTGTGATAGTATATGCAAAGTGTTCAGAACATTGCCTGGCACAACGTACCCATTCAAAAAAAATGTTAACTGTTATTTTTGGTTCAATGTCTATCATTACTGTCAAACTATTAACTCTATGTCTATTACATTTTCACACTGTATCACCACTTAGCACAATGTCTAGAATACAGTAAATAATAAATGTTTGATAAATGAGTGAATATTAAAATTAATTAGTGGGTGAAAAATAAATAACCATGTGATAGTAAAAGAAATTTTGCCTTTTTGAAGTTTTGCTTTTGTTTTGATGTTGTTTTAAGACCTCAGTCTTAATATAATCGAGTGTTATATTAATTGCATTCCTTAGTTCATGTCTCACTATCATCATTGGCCTGAACAAGACCCATCTTTACTTTCATTTGTTAAAATATTCATTTGTTCATTTTTATGCCCATTTCTTGCTCCCATTTCCCCTCTCCTTTCATAGGAAACCATCCAGTTGTGTATGATATTATACCTTCTATGTCTATGTGTTCTTATAAAAATCTGTTGTTCCACATGCATTTTTTTAATATATTTTCTTCTTTTTTTTTAAAGATTTTATTTATTTATTTGACAGAGAGAGATAGTGAGAGTGGGAACACAAGCAGGGGGAGCGGGAGAGGGAGAAGCAGGCTTCCCGCTGAGCAAGGAGCCCTATACGGGACTCAATCCCAGGACCCTGGGATCATGACCTGAGCCGAAGGCAGACTCTTAACGACTGAGCTACCCAGGCTCCCTCCATGCATATGTTTTAATATGCATAAATGGCATTGCATTGTTAATCTCTTTCTTACTCCACTTTTTCTCTGTACTGCTTTTGCTTTTGGAATTCTTTTTTGTTTTCAACAATAAACCATAGCATTGTTTATTTCTTAAATTTTGTGCTCATTTTGAGTATTATTTTTTTTACATTGTCAAAATAACCAGTATAATTTGTTGATAGACAGATACCCTAAAATTAAATTTCTATTTTACTGTTGCTATAAGCAATAATATAAAACCTTAAATAAAGATATAATGTTAAATACAAGAATATTCAAATGTACTATTAACTCTTTAATTTTTGATTAGACCCCTCTTCAGCTGAGGCCATATTTCAGCATTCTTAATGAATGGGTCCCAAAGACCTTGTAAGATCTTACCTTTGCTGGTCCTTTAGTTCTCTGTCCATCTCTCCTAACCTTGTGCTATTAAGTCTTTCTTTATACGTTGACAAAACCATCTTAAGAATTGCCAGCTACATTATACAAATAAAATGTACAATAATTCTGTTTTTGAAAATTCTAGTATTCTCTTTCAAGGGAAAAGAACTGATGGAAATGAGTTTGATGAAGGCATTAGGGAATTCTAAGAAAGACAGCTAAATAATTATCATTAACTCAGTGCTTTAGCAGACTATAGTGGTCGGGTTTATATTAACAAATTGGAATATGTATTACTGATAATATCAGATTTTACTTTTAACATATTTGCTATTATAGTTCCTCCAAGTGTCATTGGTCCTAACCCTGAAAATCTCACTGTTGTGGTGAACAATTTCATCTCTTTGACCTGTGAGGTCTCTGGTTTTCCACCTCCGGATCTCAGCTGGCTCAAGAATGAACAGCCTATCAAGCTAAATACAAATGCTCTTATTGTGCCTGGTAAGGAATTTATTACTCTTAACTGTTGGGCAAAACTTTCCCACTTTTCTCAATACAAATGGCATCAACTTAACTCTCTTTCCAAACTTTTGTCTTGCTCCTTTTATTTGTTCACATTAAATGCCTCTCTTTATCCATTTGGGGCCATTAGGATAAGATTGTATAGATTTATTTCAGTGGGAATGTACAGTAGCAAGGTCTACTTTCAAGAAATTATGACATTTAGGAACAAACTTCTTAGTAATTCCTTGGGGGTGATAGACTAGCAAACAGTGCTTTCATTGGATAAAATCACTGGTTGTTTTTAATTAATCCTAAAGCTCCTTGAGGATAGATAAATAGACCAATAATCATTTCTACACTGTGAGAGATTTAAACCCAGAAAATACTTATTAACATATTTTGACTATAGTACAATTACTATTTGCTCACTAGAACCTGTATCAAACAGTTCTACTATCTATGTTTGGTTACTGGAGAGAAAAATTTTATGAATTTCTTCCTTTTAAGGAAGTAGAATAAATACTGAGATCAAAGGAAAAGGAAGGATCAAAGACACTCAATTCAGTTATTTCATTTTGAATAGGAAATTTTACTGTAAGAGAAAGGATACATTTTGCTATTTATCTTATTGATAAAAAAGTTATTAAAACAACCTCTATGCCACTCTTCAATTTGCATTGTATTTGCCCACAGGTGGTCGAACTCTACAAATTATTCGGGCAAAGGTATCTGATGGTGGAGAATACACTTGTATAGCTATCAACCAAGCTGGTGAAAGCAAGAAAAAAGTTTTCCTGACTGTTTATGGTTTGTCTTCACTCTCCTCATAAAATTCTTTCCTTTTTAAATTGGTATTAGATACTTTCTATCTGAGCATCTTAATGAAAAAAAAACATCATTTTGTTCTTGTTTCCCTCCCTCAGTGCCCCCAAGCATTAAAGATCATGGCAGTGAATCTCTTTCTGTAGTTAATGTAAGAGAGGGGACCTCAGTGTCATTGGAGTGTGAGTCAAATGCTGTCCCCCCTCCAGTCATCACCTGGTATAAGAATGGGCAGATGATAACAGAGTCTACTCACTTGGAGATTTTAGCAGATGGACAAATGCTGCACATCAAGAAAGCTGAGGTGCATCTTTTATTCTTGTTTGTGTGTCATGACTCGTTGGTGGGATTATGGAAGAAAGAATTGGTAGTTGCATATTCTCTTTACTACAGTGAGAAATGAGTTTTATTTAAAAACAGCATCATCAATGCTATTGACCTTATTTTTATTTTTTTATATTAAAAAAAGGCAGGATTGTAGAAGGCAATTAGAATGGGGCATTGGAGCATAAAGATGACTGATGATTTAATCTACACTGGAACAGTGTGATTGGTCATCTGTAACTTAATGGAGCACATACAATAGTATCTTTTTCTTTTAGGTATCTGACACAGGCCAGTATGTATGTAGAGCTATAAATGTAGCAGGACGGGATGATAAAAATTTCCACCTCAATGTATATGGTGAGCATCTGCCTCTAATACAACTCTTTTTCCCCCAGATATGCAAATGAAAAAGTGTCCTGGATTAGCTTAATGAGGACACATGATTTTCTTCTGTCTTTTCACAGTGCTACCCAGTATCGAAGGGCCTGAAAATGAAGTGGTTGTTGAGACAATCAGCAATCCTGTGACCTTAACATGCGATGCCACTGGAATCCCACCTCCCACAATAGCATGGTTAAAGAACCACAAGCCCATAGGTAATATAGTTGTGCATTTTTCATTTTTGTTTTCTTTTGCTCTTAACTCACTAGATTAATAAACTAGCACATTTTCAGTATTATGCTTATAGCTGTGTTTAATCCAAAAAGCCTAATGGACTGAAATATAAATTTACAGAATAGACACGTAAGATGGTTATTCATTACATAGAGATTTTTCTTATTTCCTTTTTCAAAGAAGGCTCTCGTTTAAAATGAAAGTACAAAGGGCAAACTTTTAAGAAGCATATTTATTACATAAAATAAGATATATTGGGGCACCTGGGTGGCTCAGTTGATTGAGTGGCTGACCCTTGATTTAAGCTAAGATCACGCTCTCAGGGTCCTGAGACTGAGCCCCAGGTGGGGCTCCCTGCTCAGCTCTCCCTCTTCCTCTGCCCCTCCCCCCACTCACCAGTGCATGCTCTCTGTCTCTCAGATAAATGAATCTTTAAAAAAATAATATATATTATGGTGAATTATAGAGATGTTAAAAATAAAAGCTTTTTATGTTTTGTTTCGCTTTGTTTTCACCTCTAGAAAATTCTGACTCACTTGAAGTACATATTTTGTCTGGAGGTAGCAAACTCCAAATTGCTCGGTCTCAGCATTCAGATAGTGGAAACTATACATGCATTGCATCAAATATGGAGGGAAAAGCACAGAAAAATTACATTCTTTCAATTCAAGGTAAGTGGGGTATGGGGTAGACCTGGCTGGCTAAGCCAGTAAAGCATGTATGACTCTTGATATCAGGGTTGTGAGTTCAGCCCCACAATGGGCATAGAGCTTACTTAAAAAAATTTTTTTTAATTTAATTTTTTTTATTATGTTCAGTTAACCAATATATAGTACATCATTAGTTTTTGATATAGTGTTCAACGATTCATTAGTTTTTTAAAACCCAACAAGGTATGTGGGATACACTCTGACCTACCTTCAGTTTCTTTATTATATTCTATCTATAGTACAAAATAAAGCTACATCTAAAGAGATCATTTATAGGGGCGTCTGGGTGGCTCAGTCGGTTAGGCATCTGTCTTCGACTCCAGTCATGATCCCAGGGTCCAGGGATCCAGCCCCGTGTCCCTGAGCAGGGAGCCTGCTTCTCTCTCTGCCCCTCTCTCCTGCTCTGCTCTCTCTTGCTATCTCTGTTTCTCTCAAATGAATAAATAAAATCTTAGGGGAAAAAAAAGAGATCATTTATATTGATTCAAAATACCTTAGTTTCATATTTTTTGGATATTTTATTTTTTCCAGTTTTGTTGAGATACAAGCACTGTCTAAGCTTAAGGTATACAGCCTAATGATGTGACTTACAAAATACCTTTAGATTCACAAAAAATATTGTCAATTTTCTGTCCTACATTTATCAGTAGATTTGTATTTTCATGAAAATGGTCATAACTGTGGAAAAAAGAATAATAGAAATTTCATAATCTCTATTTTTTCATGTTTACTGAAATGATGACTTTTAATAGTATATATTCTATTGAATTACTTATTTATTTTAATCTGGTATAACTTATTTTGAGCTAAGCCTATAGATCTGTTCACATTTATGTTGGTAAGTAAGATTTAACTCATGAAGAGATTGTAGTGTTTTCTAACTATAATTCAGGGATTAGGTAAATTTCAAGTAAGCATGAATCTTATACTATTTTGGGGTAAGAATAAGGAGCATTAGCTCATCCAACACTTAATTAACTTAATTAACACCTACTATGTTCCAGCATTATATTGAGCACTGGAGGAAGAACTTGCATACTTTTGATTTTCAGAAAAACTCTGATTATTTCTTTTCACCTAATGTTTAAATTGAAATGGAAGTCTAACTTGAAACTAAGTTGAATGCTAGTTTTTTTCTAGTTAAGTTTTTTGCTAGTTTTTTCCTGTTATTATGGGTACTATGAAAAGAATTTCTCATAAATTGTAGAAGTAACTGTGAATATTTATTATCTCCCTGTTGAACTCTGCTAAAGTTAACTTCAAAAATATTAATTTTTTTAGTTTTATCAAGATGTAATTGACATATAACATTGTATAAGTTTAAGGTGCATAATGTAATGATTTGATAAATGCATGTATTGCAAAATGAGATTAAAATCCATCATGTAAAAATTAAAATTAAAGAAAAATTGAAATAAGTTTATGAGTATTGGTGGTTTCTCTGATTAGTGATACTGTGAGATTTCAAAAGCAAAAAAGGGAAAAATAACTATTCAGAGGTTCAGCGTCAGAAATTATGTTTAATTTTGTTTAATGCATTAATAAATAATAAGTACTAATCATGGAGAATGTGGTATGACCAAACATCTTACCTGACTGTATATTTTATCATGTCTCAGGACTAGAGAGATGTGTATAGGGCCTAGTGCAGTACTTGTCCTATATTAGATACTCTTTACAGCATGGCTCATTAAAACTCTCATTGATTTGACTAATGTAGTAACTCTAAATTCTGCAAATTTGGTACAATTATTACTGTCTTCTGGACAACTAAAATGAGATTTGGAGAGGCTGTGAAGTGATGTGCTGGTAAATATTTAACAACTGACTCTGCAGACAAGAAGGTCCTGATTTGTAGCCAATCATTTGTCAGTTTCTGTGGTGTAAATATCCCCACTGGGGCCCACTTCAAGTTCCCAACATGACGTCAGGGAACAAGAGGAGTAGGGAAGATGTGTAAAATTGGCTCTTGTGAGCTGGTGTGAGCTACCTCCAGCACACTACCATAATTATTTAGAAGAGGAATTCAAATGTGTTTCTGCTTGAAACCATTGTCAATATTTTTATAATACATTACCTCTCAATCATATAATTAAAGTGAAAAGCAAAGATGGCCAGAAAGAGTATAGAGATGATTGGATCTTGAAATGTACAACAAGCCTATCCATTGTTTAGAATAAATTTTTTTATTTTATTATGTTATATTAATCACCATACATTACATTAGTTTTTGATGTAGTGTTCCATGATTCATTGTTTGCGTATGACACCCAGTGCTCCATTCAGTACGATTTTTAAATTGCATTATGAAGAGAGAAACACCCAACTTAGATGCTTTTCTCAGACGTTGATGGCAAGATTTTGTAAAACGTTCTCCTGAACTATACTAATTCTGAACTATATTGAGGATTTAATCTAAACGTGAGTCATTTGGCCAGGAAGGACACCCATGAGGTAGATTTGTCACTAGCCCAACATATAGCTAAGTAATTGTATCAACTTACAAATACAACAAGAATATTGAAATGATTCCTTGACCTATTCCTCATTTAGAAGTAATTTATGAGGATAATAATAGTTGGATCTTGAACCACAATCTAGGAAAAATATGAAAAAAATGGCATATTGTTCTATGATTCTGTTGTATTTGTTAGACTTTATAACCTTATGCCTTGTTAATGAAAATCTTTATCATTTCCCCAAAGTTCCTCCAAGTATTGCTGGTGCTGAAATTCCAAGTGAAGTCAGCGTTCTTCAGGGGGAAAACGTTGAGCTGGCCTGCAATGCAAATGGCATTCCCACCCCACTTATTCAGTGGCTTAAAGATGGAAAGCCCATAAATAACAGTGAAACAGAAAGAATCCGGTATGTTTTAAAAGAATCTTTGCATCATTAATTATAATGTATTCTACAATGCTTTATGCTTCAAATTTCACATGAATAATACCAAATTCAGTCTCATGGGAACTTGGCTATCATTTTGTATTCAGAAAGAAAAAAGATAACATTTTAAAGACCTGGACACAGAAATTCTCCTTAGACAGTTGCTCAAAAGTGTGTGCGTGTGTGCTGCACACATGTTTGTAAGTTTTCCGTATCCATCAACATCAATGAGTGAATGAGTGCTTGGCTCATTTTGAAAAAAGAGACAATATCGTCGTAACCTAGTTCATTCCTTGTAGTGATTTGTCCAAATCCCATTTTCCGCTGATACATGTTACCCATACAACAAATTACATGGAGATGGAATAACAATATGGTAAGGGCTTCCTGTTACTTTCAACAATAAATGCCTTTAGAAGAACAGTCCAGAATTCTACTCTCCGCTAGATTACTTCATCACAAAGCCCCACTGTATACACGTATCAGAGTAATTAAATTATTTGAAGAACCATACATGCATACGTAGGCATTAATTAAATGTATTACAAGCTTTATCATTTTAAACCAATATTTTAAATTTAGGGTTTGGACTGTTTTCTAGTCAATGAATTGAATATACATAATTTAAAGAAAGATAAGTAAATGTTATTTTCTTTGAAGTCATTGTATATTAAAATTTAGATATTAGTTCCCATTAGAAGATTGGGTAAATTGCCAAATAATATTTTAGAGATATGTTTTAAGTTTTATTTCTTTGGTGTGCACATATCTCAATAGTTAACAAGTATTTAATTATTTTTATTAAATCAGATGGTATCAACCATATTGCAAGCCAAGTACTAGATAGGTGGTGGGACCTAAAGATCTTATATGATAATATTTATACCCAGGAATTTATGATCTGTCATTCTTCCCTTACAATAAGATCCCAAATGCACTTTTTCTGTATCTCACTTACTGATTATTTGTTCACATCTCCGCAATACGTATAGGTTTGCAAATGGGACAATTTGCCAATCAACTTACTACTTTCCTTTGGTTATGGCAACCTCCTTTTTTGTTTATTCATATGATTAACCCATGGAATTTTAAAATTCATATTTTGAAAATGAAAAAATATAAGAGATTCATAATAATATTGTAATTTTCTTTTTTGTAATTTTCAATAATCATATTTAATAACATTATATGGTAGAAATGGAGTGTTTACTTTTGACATTGGAAGACTCTAATAAAATCACTGTTGTAGGAATAACTATAGAAAGCCATTTAATCTCTTTCTAAAACAGGAAATTTGTTTGATAATTAATGGCTTGTGAAGGGAATCAGTAATGCAATAATATTAACTTAAATATCTTTGATCATCTAACCATACAGTTATTTACCATTATGTAATTCAAGGGTAAAGCTCTAGCAATTTGTGGAAAAATTTTTGCAAAATATACGTGTACATAATACTGAGTTGTTGTCACAGTTTAAATAAGTTATCCTATTCTCATTAAAAATATTACTAAGTCATTTATAGTTAGTTTTTAGTATATCATTTCTTTTAGTTTCTCATTATAACATTCTTCAGATTTCATACCAGAATTTTTGATAATTTTCATTTAATCCAAACCTTATTTTAGTAACTAAGGAAAATGTATTCTAACTTTGAGAAAAACACGTCTTTGATTTGGATAGAGAAGTTCCCAACCTGATTTCATTCAGTTCCCGTTTTTCTCATAAGGAAGTGGTGGATGGAAGACATGAATTTTATCTGGTTCTGTAGAATTTTAGTTGATTGCATGAAATCCCCATCAGTTTTACTAGCTCTGACTTTAACAGACTTCCATGTACTTCGTGAAAAAGATACGAACCATTATATATCTAAGATGAAGATGCATTTTATGGTGGTATTTCTTTAAAGAACACAGTAACCCAGAGTGAGTTTTCCAGCTCTTAGCTTCACATGAATCATCTCAGTGCCTTTACTATGATGTTTCCTATAGGGTGACTGCAGATGGCAGTACATTAAACATTTATGGAGCTCTCCCATCTAACGTGGGGAAATACACATGTGTCGCTTCTAACCCTGCTGGAGAAGAAGACCAAATTTTTAACTTGAATGTCTATGGTAAATATGAAATTTCACTCTCTTTTGACTCTGCTACCTTCGGAATCTATCAGTAGAAATGAAGGTCCAGCAGTAGGTGCCTGAAGCATCTAGTTTTAAAATCTGATCACTGCCCTTTGCTTTTGGGATAAAAAGCAGCAGCATGGGCAATTGTAGTTGAACTGATTTGAACTAGTAATGCACACCCCACCCCTTCTCTCTCTCTCTCTCATTTTCTGCATGACATAGTTCCACCTGCAATTAGGGGTAATAAAGAAGAAGCAGAGAAACTAATGACTTTGGTGGATACTTCAATAAATATTGAATGCAGAGCCACAGGGACACCCCCACCACAGATAAACTGGCTAAAGAATGGACTTCCTCTGCCTCTCTCCTCCCATATCCGGTTGCTATCAGGAGGGCAGGTTATCAGGTCAGCTTTTATTATGTGTGATTTGCTAGATGGGTAAAGTCACTACGATTGTAGGCTTTAACTTTATCTAAATGGTGTTAAGAAATTTTTTTCTATTGTTTGGTTATTTTTCCCTTTCAGTATCTTTTTAGAAGAGGGAGGATAACAACTGTAAAATTAAAATGTTTTTTTATTCTTATTTAAATGCTCGTGTTTTAGTAAATTTGTATAAAATAGCTCTTTCATAGACAGACGTATCTATCGCATATGTATTTCCAAGAACTGCTATTTTAGAGAAAACTTTCTGTGGCAAAATAATAGAAAGATGCGTACTACAATCATGTGATTTTCATGTTAGCATCATTCTTTCTTAATGTATATTAGGAAAATATTCACTCTTAAATTATGTTATATTTTTAATGGCTTACGGTCAGTGCCTAATCAACTTTGTGGAACAAATTGCATTTGAGACATCTGTATTTTGTGATGGATCATTATAAGCTTCCTAACTAAAATTTCCCAACATTAGTCATAATCTGTGTATAAATCAGAAATATTTTCTCTGTGTATGTTGAATGGGATTGAATTATGAATTATTGGGTCAAATTGTTTTTCAGGATTGTGAGAGCTCAGGTGTCTGATGTTGCTGTGTACACGTGTGTGGCCTCCAACAGAGCTGGGGTGGATAATAAACATTATAGTCTTCGAGTTTTGGGTATGTCTCAGAGATGACCCTAGTACTTTACAATATTAAGCAACAGGCTTATATTTAGATATTGACATATCAGAAAGAATTGGTAAAATAGGATGTTGCTAACTAGGAAACAATGCATTTTCTCCCAAGGGGTCCATATGTATTGGAACATACTGTCTGTCAAAATACTCTTCTAGGGGCACCTGGGTGGCTCAGTCGGTTAAGTGTCTGCCTTCAGTTCAGATCATGATCCCAGGGTCCTGAGATCAAGCCCCACATTGGGCTCCTTGCTCCGCGGGAAGCCTGCTTCTCCCTCTCCCACTCCCCCTGCTTGTGTTCCCTCTCTCGCTGTGTCTCTCTCTGTCAAATAAATAAATAAAATCTTAAAAAAAAAAAAAAGTCTTCTAACCTGGAACTTTGCCTTAAGTCAAATCTAAGTTTTTAAAAATAGCATTTCAATCCTGACACAAGGACTCATCTTTTGATACAAAGAGAAAGTTCACACTGTTTTCTAATAATATTAGTGGCTCATTTTGAGTATTTAAAATATGAATGAATATGTGCAGATATATGTCTTCATGAGTGTGTGTGTGTGTGTGTGTAGACAGAGAGAGAACTGAAAACATTCCATTTCTGAAATACTAAGGTTTACTGGTCCAAATTTCTAAATCCCCAAGAACATCTCAGAACAGTTAAGTAACTATTTACTATAGCCTACAAATTAATTTTGTTGGATTATATAAAATTTACTCCAGAAACTGGTATTATTTTATTTATTCCCATACAGCAGTTGAAAATATACTTCTGAAACTGTAATATACATTGTAACAAGTTAAAGAGACAAACCTAAGAAGTTAAAAAATGGCCAAAACTTAAAGCACATTTAAATTTTTTGTGTTCGACAAGAAAACAATCCTGAGGTTTCATTGCTAATATCTTGGAAGGTTAATAATTAGCCTATCTAATACCTGTTTTTATAATAGCGTTATTTATATGCTATCTTAAATTCTATATTTTAATAGATCATAGAAACACTACAGAACTAACTGAACCATTAAAAAAAATTTTTTATCTAAGTTGGTCTCAAATTATAATAGATGTGTAAATTTTACCTGTTTTGTTTTCTGTATAGTGCCACCAACTCTGGACAATGCAATGGGAACAGAGGAGATCACAATAGTCAAGGGTAGTTCTACCTCCATGACATGCTTTACAGATGGAACCCCAACTCCCAGGATGTCCTGGCTTAGAGATGGGCATCCTCTGGGTCCTAATACCCGTCTGACAGTAAGCACTCAAGGAATGGTTCTTCAGCTCAACAAAGCAGAGACTGAAGATTCGGGAAGGTACATCTGCATTGCCTCAAATGAAGCTGGAGAAGTCAGCAAACACTTTATCCTGAAGGTCCTGGGTATGTAAACATTCAATAATTGGGAAATAAGTGACAATAAAGATTTAGTAAGTAAGTGTAATTCTTAGAATCACTTGCTATGGGGACAAAACTTGTAAAAACTTCATTGTATTTCATATTTCTGTTTTGTAATTTACCTAGGTTTACTCTTACCTGAAGAATGTTAAATTTATTTTGTTTCTTATTTGTCTAAAAGATGAAAACTCCTACTTATAAAACATTATTCATTAACAAAATCATACAACCAATTGATAAGTAGATTTTTAAGTTTTTTCAAGAATTAAAGCTCTTGATAAATACTAACTTAATGAAAAAGCATGATACTTATACTATTTTATGTTATTTCAAACAATATTTTCAAATGATCCAATCTCTAGATTATAGTTGTAATAGTCATTTCAAATAGTCTAGTTCCATTTGAAATGTGTATTACAATGTTCTATATGCAAACAAAAACACGTCTTTTACTTGAAGTAAAAAATTTTGACTTTGGGAGAGAAATGAAGATGAACTAGTTCCATAATTAATTATTTTGGGGGAGTTTTGTTTGTTTTCTCACTACAACGTAAGTAAAACCTCAGGCTCTTCCAGAACAAAATATACCTCACAAGGAACGATAAGAATAATTTTGGCATGAGGTTAGCATATGTTTTCAGAATGCTCTGTAATCTTCCTTATAGTACCTATACCAATTTAATCATTTGTGTAACTTTAAAAGTCTGCTTCATCCTTAGCTAAGCTCTGTGAGGGGCAGTACCCACCTTACCTATTGATGTATTCCCAGGATTTAGCATGGCATTTGACATATATTTATCCATTGGATTAAATTGAATGGAATTAGAACTTGCTAGCTGGATTAAAGGGAGTTTTAACTGTAGAGAGAGATAGAATGCTATCTAAATAAACAAAGAAGAGACTGTGGTATAGATGAGTGTTCCTTAGAATGAAAGGTGGTAGTGGAGGAGGTATTCCAGGGTATTTAGAGACAAAAGACAGAAGAAAGTGTGTGTTGATAAGGAAGGCTGGAATAGCAAATTCCTGTGTACCAATTCACAGAGTCTCAGGAATAACAGGAGATGACATAAATGTGCTCTTGTACATTATTCACATATTAAGTATTAACTATTGGCTATACATTATGGGCCAGACATGTTTCCAGTCATCATGTAACAAATAATTGCTGTACACCTACAGTGTATGTGACATATGGCCTGGTCCAACATGTGGTGGTGGGAAAGGGAGAAAGCATGCTCCTCTAGGAATTCAGGAACCCAGCAGCAGAATCACAGTCCAGAGCATTTCTGGATGTAGAAAACTGAGCAAGAAAATAACAACGATATTGTTAGCGTCGTGTACAAAGAATAGCCTTCCTAGCTACAGGGTTTATAAGGATAATATTTTCTTAAAACAGATTTGAAAACTGGCTCAGCAGAAAGATGAGAAGATTCAGCATTTCAGCATCTGTTGAAAGCTAATTCCATTAAAACCTGAAAAAGTCTTCCCTTGGATCAGTGCTACACTCCAAATGTGAAAGTAACCGTCCTAACCTGGGGAACTGCTATTCTTAGCAGTTGGTCAGTGATCATGCACTGCCTGGTCACCCCCAGCATCACTAGATGCAACAACAGAGCAGGAAAAAGAGGAAAGGTGAAGAGTTGCCCCCCCTAGGGACTTTTTTAAAAACCGTACAGAACCTCTTCCACTTACATCTCATTGATCAGAATCTTCACATACCACTCCATCTACCATCTACGGCAGAGGCTAGGAAATGGAGTTTTTAGCACACTGCCAGTCCCAACAAAATTGGGGTCTGTTAATGTGAAAGAAACAAATAGATAATATTGATTGGGTACCTAAAGGCAGGAAATAAGTGATGTTAGTCCAAGTAAATAGTATTGTAGCTCAGATTAGTAATGGAGGTGAGAGGAAAAAATGCATTTAGAAATAATTGCAGGTAGAAGTATTAGGACTTACTTGAGGATTTGGATATAGGAGAGTGATGAAGAAGATATCAAGGGTGACTCCGAGTTTCTGGTTTATATGACTGGATGATTGGTAAATCCATCTCATAAATGCAGGAAATGATGGAAAAGGACCAGGTTTTGAGGAATAAGGTAACAGGTTCTGTCTGAATACATGTTTAAATTGAAGTAGTGTCCAAATATTCCACTGGAGGTGTTTATCTGATAATTGGATTTGTGGATCTTAAGCTCAGAAGAGAGATGTAAGTTAAAAACATAAGTTCTGGAGTCATCAGAGTATGTATACCTCCTACTCTGTCCAAAGTATAAGACATATGAGAAAGACACAGAATAAAATAGTTGATAGTCACTTAACATCTATCTGTAAGATCTGATGACTGGGGGTTTGAATCAGGGGGAATATGCTGTTTCTATTATTGTTGATGTTGTTTTAAATCTAGTGACTATAAGCTTTGAAGATAAAGGCCATGCCTAATTAATTTTTGTATCCATAATGACTGAAACATAGTAAATAACTAATAAATGAAAGGAATAAAGAATTGACTGTAGTCAAATAGAGAATCAGATAACTGCTTTTGAGTAATATAGACAACATGCTTTGGAAATTTAAAGGGAGAGAAATTTTATTGTTGGTGTTAGAATCAAGAAAGGATTTATGGTTTTTACAAATGAATTTAATGACATTATTGTGACCTTGGTAGTATTTGAACATGCTCAGTTAGTGGATGGGACTATTGGAGGATGTAACAGTAGAAGGAATAGCATTAGTAAAGTCACAGAGCAAGAAAAGACTGGACTTGTTGAGGGAAAAAAGTAGTCAAATTTGAAGCCTAGGTTACATTTAAGTATATTAAAAGTACATAATTTTATAAAGATAAAGACCTATTGCAGAAGCTTTGGAAGCCATGATGAAGTGTTTTTATTTAATTCAGTAAGCAACATGGAAACACTGAAATCCTTAAGCAAGAAATCTTGGATCATTCTAAAATTCACTTAAGAAAATGGATTTTGACAGCAATACATAAGATGAATGAAAGTAAAAAAAGAAGTCATGTGGGTCAGTGGTTAAGAAACTCTGACTTCTTAATTATAGTCTGAAACGGTATATAGATTTAATATATTGTCTTTCTCCAGAAAGGAAAACAGGGACCATAGGTGGGTTTTTTTTTTTTTTAGTAAACAGGTTTTAATAATACCAACAGCTGTAGTAGACATTGTAGTAGCAATAACTTTTTAAAAACCTTTAATTATAAAATAAAAGATACTCAGAAACACAAAAGAAATGTGTAGTTTATAGATTATCTCATTGGATGCTCACAATGATCCTACTAGTTAAATAATAGTGCTATTCTTATTTTAGAGGTTTGCCCAAATCCACTAAGCTAATAATTATTGGACCCAGGATTCAAACTCAGGCTCTTTGACTGCAGATGCTCTTCTGTGAACCTCTGTTCTAAACTACGTGCCTGATTAAAAAAAAAAAAAAAAAAGTCTGATCCTTGGAGCTGTCCAACAGCTATTTTGGCTGCCTTGTGAAATAGTAAACTGGAAACGTTCATAGAAAACTTGAATGATCATTCTATGAAAAGACTGTTTTAAAGGGATTTCTAAACTTGAGAATAGTTGGACTTAAGGAACCTTAATGTTTCTTCCAAGCGTTTAGATTTTTAACATCCTCTTGAGAAAGGTAATTTAGAAATATAAATAAAAAAGGAAATTATTTCTGCCCAGACATAACAAATGTGTTCTATGCAGAAATAGTCTCCAAATGTAACTATTTTTTCTTCTGCTTAGTCATTGTTTCCTCTTAAAGTTCTGCAGGGAAAAGATGAGAGCAGAATTCCACAGCATTTGCCTGTTACTTTTGTAGAAACAATAGATATTTAGAAGGTACAAAAACACACTACTCTGTGGAAGTATCTCTCTTTAAAAAATGGTACAAGATGAGTTTCGTTTTTATGGTTCTCCAGTCTTTGCAGTTAGGTGAGACTGCTCTATGTATCTGAATCCCAGTTGCTGAGCTGTCATTGCCTTGGACAGGCTTGCCATTTATTTCATGATCTCTGATAGATATGAGCCATCCCTTTTAAAATAGTGCCAGTGACAAATGGTAATAACATCTAGGAATTGTCATTTTGGTATTTAACCAATTTGTAGTATATGAACATAAATTTGAGGTGAATTTCCTTTTAATAAAGTTTTTCTAATCAGCAGTATTTTATCAAACAGCAAATTTATTTTGTTGTTGTTTTCAATTCCCTTTAAATAGAACCACCTCATATCAATGGATCAGAAGAACCTGTAGAAATATCAGTGATTGTTAATAATCCACTTGAACTTACCTGCTTTGCTTCTGGAATCCCAACTCCTAAAATTACCTGGATGAAGGATGGACGGCCCCTCCCACAGACAGGTCAGGTACAAACTCTTGGAGGTGGAGAGATCCTTCAAATATCTAGTGCTCAGGTAAGTGTCAAAGTCAAAAAAATTATTTTATCCTGGACTGTATTTCTCACTTGCTAATATAGGTGAAATGGAGAAATTAATGTTTTTGAATCCAAATGGATCACAGATCCCTCTCAGTAACTTTCACAAAGGTAGATTGGTTCTACGGTATGCATGCTTGGGTAGACACAGGGTAACATGACTAAAAAAGAGCAGTAGAAGTATCATATTAAACTTGGAAGAAAGCAAGATACTTTAATTTTTCATGTTTTTTCACAGTGCTGTAAGTGAGTATTACCTGAAGCTCTTAACTTGTGCCATGCGACCCTTTACAGAACTGGCAAAAAGCAGTTCAACATATGTACATATGAGGCCTCCAAGAGCAATTTTGGTCTCTCAAATGAACTAGCAGACATGAAAATCTGAAGAGACACAATTTTTCAAACAACCAATGCAGTAAAATTGTTCTTTTAGTTTGTGTTTAAGGAAATTCATCAGAAACATAAATTTATTAAAGAGGAGTATGTCTGGGATGCCTTATCATAACAATCTTCTGTTTTACTAACAAAGACAAATCTTATATTACAGATATTCTCCATCTGTGCCCTAATACCCCCGTCCGCAACTTTGGGATAAAAGTAGTAATAATACCTAACTCCTACACTTGAGGATTTAAAAGATCACCTAACATGCTTAGCTTAGCGCCACAGGCATGTAGTAATGTTAAATAGAGTTAGATAGAATTGTTTTTCCTGCTGCTACTGTTGTGATAATCATCATCCCTTTAAACATGGCATAAATTATTTAATTATATTCTGTGTGCATTTTTACTGAGGAAAGAGGAAGGAAAGGGAGCTGGAAAAAGAGAGCAAAGGGCTATGAATTGTCTACTGTGTCAGTCCTGACTTCAGCTCTGGGCTCAATCACACCGGTGACCATCATAACAACTCTGTGAGCAAGTCTTTATCTCCATTCTACACCACCAGAAACAGGCACAGAGAGATCAAGTACTTGCCTGCCAAGTACTCAACGCTGTTCAGTGATAGAGCTGGGTCTCAATCCTATATCCACTTCAAAAGCCTACCCAGTGGAACTCAGCACATTCCTTGTTTCTAATATCAAGGAGAACACGCCTTCCATTCCCCTCTTTTCTCTCCGTCAAACATTGCAATAACTCAGAGAAAACTGGAGTTAAGCTTTCAAACAACTTACTGAATGAAAATCCTTGAATGATATAATTTCAACAGATAAAAAAGGAGCCAAAAGAATTTTGTAACATAAGGAGACAGGGAACTGTATGGAATAGAATTATAAATACAAAGGAATAATGATAAACAAAGCTTATAAGGAATATTAAGGCCACATCATAGTAGGTCTTAAATGGAAACATTATAGAGTTTGATTTAACAAAAGGAGACAGAGATGATCCCATTGAGTATTAGATGGGACCCACATGAGCTAGCCATTGTGGAGAATACAAACATAATACATAAAACCTGTCTCAGCCTTCAAGAAGTTTCCAGTTGTCTAGGGGATATGAAACTACACACATGATAAAATTAGGAAAAGAAACAGTAAGAAAACCATTCAAGATATTTTAGAAGTAGAAAATTAAATATTATCAAGTCCCAAGACTGATCTTGGTTCCTCTGCTCCTCTGTGTTTTCAGGGCATTTTGTACATTATACATTATATTTCACCTATCACATTATATTTCACTTATCTGAACTTTGTCTTTTCATGTATGTATCTGTAACATACAGTTATGCCTGACACATATTGGAAGCTTTGCAAATTCCAAATTGTGTGGTAAAGACAGGAGTTTACTAAAATATCTTCCATCAAACACTAGTTCTGTGAGTTATTCCAGTGGAGGAAATTCTGTGACCGAATAGAATTGGAAAACTTTATATACTATACCTTCCTCTCCTTTGTGAGCCATACTGCATGTCAACAATCCTGAAAAATACTACTCTAGAGAAATATGATTAACTGTCACTTTTCTGACACTCTATAAACAGAACACAGTTTAGAAAATATAGCTACGAATGATGACTGTAGGCATCCAGAAGGGCACAAATTGTCAGGAAATATTTATTGGAGGAGGTAAGATTTAGGAGTAGACATGAGTGATGGTTCAAGTTTGGGTAAGTCAAAACAAGCGGAGAGGGCATTATTAATTGGGAATAAAGTGAGTTGATAGAGAAAAGTTGAGTTTTAAACGACTTTCAACATACGATGGGAAATGCGAAGTTATTCTCTAGGCCTCGGTACATCATTTTAAATTCTTAATTGAAGGACTATGTGAGTGCCATTCTTCTTAAAGTTGTATTTAAGTATTTTTGCAAGCATACTAGTCTTAAATTTTTTTCGAAGGAGTTTCTGCGGCCTACCAAAAAGTTTTTCCATAACCTATAAAGTCAGTTTTGAATGTAAGAATTTAAAAATTCACAATATTCTAGGAATGTTCAAGTAGTAAAATAAATGAAAACAGGATTTTTCTGCTTTTCCAAAATACATTTTTCACAGAAGTAAGATCGTCTGTTTTACAGAGTATATTTTATGCATACGTAAGCATGGGCTGTGTCTACACAATGTCAAACATATGAAGGAAGACTAACACTTCCAGTGGAAACTATGCACGGGGTTTTTAAAGAAATGTTTCTGGTTTTAGTCAGATAATAGTAGATTATGTTGTCAGTCTGACACTGTTTGCAGCCAGATTATATAATATAGCTCTTTTGTTTCACCACGTTTACCAAAGGTACATTCAAAATGTGGAATTAATGTACTTTATTTAAATAACCTGATACTTTATTTGTTTACTTAATAAACTGTATTGCATTTTCTTCAGGAAGATGCCAATTGAACTTTTAAATCTACCATTTAAGTCCATAAATATTTGTTCAGTAAATATTGTGTGTCTCATCTATGACCTCTGGTGCTGGGTCCTATATATATCTGCCTTTTCTGAGATCACTAAATATACCTAACATGCAAACATGTTGAGATCAGATATTGAAAACCTCTTAAAACATAGTTTTACAGAGAGCTATGTTACAGAGAGCTAATGTTAAAACAGTTTATTAAGTTTTATTTGTTGTGCTATCTTGTTTTGTGTGAGACTTTATATTCATTCTAGTGAATGCTTATTCTCATCACGAAAACTGACATGTTAACATTGTGTAATTCACTTATTTGGATTTTGCAGGTGGAGGATACAGGAAGATATACGTGTCTGGCATCCAGTACTTCAGGAGATGATGATAAAGAATATTTAGTGAGAGTGCATGGTAAATTTGGCAAAATGTCCTGCAATCTATCATATACTAATACCTAATTAGAAGCTGTAATTCATGGAACCTGGGGCAACTCTGTAGCACATCATAAGATATGTTTATGTATAAGGAAATATGTATTTTGCAAATCTTATTCTTATATTTGGCTGATCAAGTGCTTTTTGGAAATACTCCAGTGGACTTTTTGACTCATTCATTTTGTTTCTGCACAAATAATTCGTAGTTCTTTATTTAAAATCATAGACTATAAATTACGATAAAGAAGAAAATATGTCATCCAGTCTCATTACACAAAGGCTTTTTTGCATACAGATGTTTTGTCACAGAAATGTACCCTACAACATGCAGTATCAAACTTGTTTTTCATATCTCTTAATGGTTTGATGAACATGTTTTCATGTCAAAAAACATATTTTTATAACAGTTTTTAGTGATGGCATGGTGTCCCATTTTATGAATATACCATCATTTATTTAATTAATAAATTAATAATTTAATTCCCTATTTTTGGATATTTAAGCTGTTCTTGAATTTTCATCAGTATAAGGAATACTGTTATAGACATCTTTGTGCATACATATTAGCCTGTTTCCTTAATTCTTTTATTTTGATAAATTTCTATAAGTACACTTGCTTGATTACACATACACATGTACATATTTAAAGCTCTGAAATTTATTGCCAAATTACCTTCTAGAAAAGTTGGGCCATTTAGACTCAGGTCAATATTATTTCAGCACAGAGATAAGAATTACTCTTTATGGAAAGGAACATTTAAAAAACCAAACAGAAGATACTTATTTCATTGTCTTAGTCGAGATGACTAGGCAGTGCAAATTGTCCATAATTTAGGTGCCCCCCTTCCCCCACCAGCCCTACACACAAATTAGACCTGCCGTTAACTGACATGTAAGTTCTGCATATAAAAGTCACATTAAAAAATATATTTCTGAATATTATGAAAGTATATACATTTCTCTATATTATTATGGAACAGACCCTGATTTAGTAGTTTGGAAATCCGATGTTGAGAGAAAATTCTTACCAAGTGTGAGACCTGGACAAGAAATCCTTTCTTTGTGCCTTAGTTTCTTTACCTGTTAAATGGTGATAATAATGTGATTATATTACTTATCCTGTCATTCATGTGACTATTGGAAGAATTTCAGTACTTTATATATGTGAAAGTACAGAGTAAGACTTAAAAAAAAAAGTCCACTACTGGTAGTCATTTGTACCACAAATTGAACGAGTAATGTTTTAAGTTTATGCCTCTTATTTTATATAACAGAAGCAAAATTTGTTGAAAACCTAATATAATTCAGATCATTTTTATATCTTGTTTACTGAAAGCCTCTGACATGTTTGTTCTCGCACCCAGTACCCCCTAACATTGCTGGAACTGATGAGTCCCAGGATTTCACTGTGTTACGGAACAGACAAGTGACATTGGAATGCAAATCGGATGCAGTGCCTCCCCCTGTAATCACTTGGCTTAAAAATGGAGAACGGTTACAGGTAAATCTTGCTAAGTTCCACAAATCCATTTTGAGGAAAAAAAAAATCAGCTGTAGCGTCTTTGGTAGGTAGACAAAACCAAACAATATCAGGCTACTATTATTTGACATTGGAGGTGTGGGCACAGGATCTTTTAATCAGCCTTCCTTTCTCAACCTGTGCTTGGGTAGTTATTAACTAGTTATGGGTCAAAACACAGGTATTTTGTTTCAGACACTCTGTAAATTGGTGTAAGTATGTATCTCCTGGAGCCCGTGAATTAAAATTGTATTTGAAACACTCAGCTATTTCTTTACTTGAGAGGTAGGAAGTCATCCGAGTCTCAAAAGAGCTCACCTGTCCTGTCAAGTGTCATGGGCAAATTTCTTACTGAATTTTTCTGGAATAAACTGGGACCTGAGGAGGGCCCCTCCTTTGATACCAGGAATATAGGACTGGAATCCTTGAAGAACACACTTACTGGCTCTCTAAAGCTTCCCATGCTCACGTGATATCTGTCTGCTATCAGAGTGTCACAGTCCAGGATCCTAAATAGCCTTTAGGGTTGGTGCAAAGCCTTGACTTTGAATGCTCTGATTGTTCTTATCCTAGTAGTTACTTATGCTTTTTTTCCTCCTTTTGTTTCCCCTCATCCTGTTAATATAACCTACTGTGTTACATTGTGCCTAATTATAAAAGATTAAGTCCCCTAACACTTAAGGCAGAAAGACTTCTACCACCACCAAACCATACCAAAGGACCAAAACCAGACTGGATGCTGAGAGTTACTTACATGCTAAATTATCATGGGTATCACTTAACCTTCCTGTGTCTCAGTTTCTCTATTTATTGTGCTCCTTCTATAACGGTAGGCACTATAATTGCTACTGAGAGTAGTCGTGACCCTCAAGGAGCTCACAGACTACTTGAAAAGACATAGAATTAAAATCAAAGATTAGAGCATGGATACGACTCATATGTTAGGGTGATGTATATAGCATTTAATGAAAACAGAGAAGCAGCAAGTAACTCAGACTGCAGGGTAAGGAACAATTCAGGGCAGCCTCTTGGAAAGGGTGAGTTCAGTTTTAAATGATGGGTAGATTCTGGGTGAAAAAGAAGAAGGGTATTCTAATCACAGGTAATGATATCTACAAAGCCATTACAGGAAAAGGAATGCTGCTCTTGCAGGAATTGCAAAGTAACTTGGTGTGGCTGAAGTAGGCCTTGATTAAAATCCTTTGATGATTCCCCACAGATTTCAGGATTCAGGTTAAACTACCCCACTTAGCTCACAAGACCTTTCATGTTCTGACTTTTTCTCCACAGTTTTATCTCCAATGTGTGCATTTCACTCAAAACTATTTTTGAGTGAAAATAGTGACGCATTTGCATGGTGTAGTCAGTTAAGCATCTGGCTCTTGGTTTTGGCTCAGGTCATGATCTAAGGGTCATGGGACTGAGCGCCATGATGGGCTGCGCACTCATTGCGGAGTCTGCTTAAGATTCTCTCTCTCTCTCCCCCTCCCCGACCCCCACTCTCTCTTAAAAAAACAAACAAGCAGCAACTATTAGGTGTTCAGATAGAAACTGAGTGAATGTTGATGATGGAGAAGTTTAGGTTAAGCCCTGCTATGATCAAGTGATGTTAGTACTGGGACAGGGTGAGTTCAAGAGTTATGAAAAAAGAGGTGATTCAGTTTCAGATATTTTGAGTTTGAATTACCAATATATTATCCAAGTGGAGATTCTTAAAAGTACTAAGAAATATGGGTCCCTATTTCATCAAAAACATCTTTGACTTGGTAGTCCTCCATGGTATGACCAGTTGTTAAGGCCACGGGTTTGTATGAAGTTGACCAGAGAGAATAGTGTGAGATAACCTGTAAATGAGAATAGAGTGTAAGGCAACACTAATAATTATAAGGTGAGCAAAGGAAAAAGAAAAGATCAGAACAGAGAAGGAAGGACTCAGAGAGATAGAATTAACTATAGGATACACTGGTGTACTAAAAGCCACAGAAAAGAGAGGGAGTGGTTGACAGAGTCCATTAAGATAACAAATTAAATTGCATCCATGGTTTTGGCAATAACACAGAAGTGATTAAAGATCAGAACAATGTTTCTTCAATAAAGTGATCAAAGGAAAAGATAGGTTACAGTTGTTGGGAGAGTTAAGGAAGAAGAGGAAATGGAAATAATTTTGGCCTATTCTTGAAATATAAAAGAGATTTTATGTGTTTATTTACTGAAAGAAAGAGACTAAAGGGGCGCCTGGGTGGCTCAGTCGTTAAGGGTGTGCCTTCGGCTCAGGTCATGATCCCAGGGTCCTGGGATCGAGCCCCGCATCGGGCTCCCTGCTC